AATTGAAGTAACAATCAGAGGTGCCTTCATTTTAAAGCTTTCTTCCACACAGTACTGTAATAGGAAAAGGTTGTCCTCTATCCTTCCTCCTCTCGTAAACCCTGCTTGTGTCTCTAACTTTTGCTCTGCGCTTTCTAGATGATCTTCTAGTCGCTGTTTTAGAATTGACATGTAGATCTTATATGACACATTCGTTAAAGCAATTGGTCTCAAGTCTTTGGCAGTTGGCTTAGACGTCTTTGGTATCATTTTCGTCCTTGATATCTTCCATTCTGATGGCGTGTCACTTCTCTCGAGGACTTCTTGGTAGCAGCCTGTCAGTATCTTCAAGCATTTGTCATTTTTTATCAAAGCTTTGTATAGTTCTGGCTTGAGTTCATCTGGTCCTGCCGCTGACTTGTTCTTAAGCCTGCCTATACATTTGGTGACTTCTTCCTCAGTTATTTGTATATCTTCCATCTTCTTCATCCTCTTCCTACTGTTCATGGCCATATCCATATGTTCTCTCAGTGTGATTGGGAAACTATATCCTTTTATTTGTATCTGGTCCTGGTTCTCTTTCTCCAGATCTGCAGTATAGGTTAGCTTCGCCCTATCGTTCCACACTTCTTCTAACTTGTTTTCATGTCTTTGATAGATTTTCTTCCAGACACTTGCTAAGTTTTCCTTTTCTTCTTCTCCTTGCAGCATTTGTCCAGCTTCTGTGAATAGGCGAACTGGACTGTTATCCTTTTGCTTTCCTTTAAGTTTGTTGATATTCTCCCAAAGTGCCTTGCTTTTGTAGCTACTATAACGTATTTCGTCAGTCACTTTCTTTTCATGCTTTGCTATTTCTTCCTTGATGAGTAGCTTTGTCAGTCGTTTCTGCTCATAATATTTTTCATATAATCTGCTCTTTTCTTCTTCTGACTTTGCATTTCTCCTGAGTCTGTTGAAGGCTTTCCTTTGCTTGATTTGTTTCCGTATTTCTTCGGTCATCCATGGTTTTTCTTTGATTTTTTCATTCTTTCTGTCAGTTTTTCTTCTGTACCTTCTTGTAAGCAATTTCTCTGCCACGTCCTTCATTATCACATTGAGATCTTCCATTAGGCATATGTTATCAGCTTCTATTCTCTGTAGTACCTCTTGCACGAAGCCCGACAATGATTCTTGGTCTGTCTTAAAGAAGTATTCATCTTTCCATTTAGCTTTATTGAGACTCAGTGACTTTTCATCTTTGAAAAACACTGTGATCATGTTGTGATCTGATAGATCTAGTAGTTCTTGACTTTCATCAATTTTCATCTTAAGGATAGACTGATGCATCTTACTGTTGACCAGCACATAGTCAATAACACTTCTGTATTCTTTACTTCCCCATGTATACAAGCCTTCACATATGTCATCACCATTCAGTAAAATCATATTGTTTTTGTTTATCACATCAATGACAAATTTTCCGTTCCTATTCTCTTTTTGGCTTCCTAGGAACCCTACATGTCCATTAAAATCCCCCAACAACATTGTTGCCATGTCTGGACTTTCTTCTAGCTTCTCTTCAAGCTCTTGTTTGATTTTCTCATTTCGTGTTTTGTCTTCTGGTTTTGTTTCAACTGACATGTAAACAAGTATTATCCTAACCTGTTTGTTCAATATACTTCCCCTCACTTCCAAAACATCTTCGTTCTCTGAAGGGGCTTTACTTAAAGTGACACCACTGTTTTGTTTATACAAAAACATGAGCCCTCCTCCTTTCTTGTCCTTTTGTTTTCTCATGCTCTCTATCTTGATCAAGTTCTTGTCAATCTCAAGTTTATCATATCTCTGGTGGGTCTCAGTAATACATAAGATGTCACAACTGTAGGCTAACAATTCTTCTAGTTCTGCCAGCTTTTGCTTTGTTAATCCTTGTATGTTAATGAGATTCAATTTGTAAACCTTTCTACTTTCTTGGTTGTCGGTCTTCGACCCCTTGTTTGTTGTTTGTTTCCTGTACCTTCCATCCTTGCTTTCTTTCTTTCTTACTGTGTTACTTTGTTTCCCTTCCTTTCGACAACCCTCCCCCGAGAAATGACATGGGTTTCTCGCCCTTTCTTGAGCCACTCCTCTCTCAGTCTTCTCTGCTTCTCCCTTTCTTCGGGAGGTAGGTCCCTTGTAATGTAGGTATTTTCTATGCCTTTGCTCTTGAGATCAAACCTCCTTTTGTACAGAAGCTCCACGTGCTCCTTTGATCTCAGCTTCAGCAGGAGTATTCTTGGTTTCGTTTTCTGGTTCTGATTTGCGTTTCTTTCATCTTCTTTCTCCGTTGTAGGTTTTTGCCTCAATCTGACAATCTTCTGAATTTCAAAGTCTCGCACTCCCAGAGCATCTGCTATTTCTTTGAACTTCACTATGTCTTCCTGTTTTTTGTCTTCTCCTTTCTCTGCTTTACTCTCTGGGAGATTGTGTATCAGCACATTTGTTGCCCTTTCTTCCAACTCCTTGTTCTGTATCACTCTTTTGATACCTTCAGAGTTACCCTTAATGACTTCTTGTTGTTCTTTTATTTCTTCTACCACTTTTGTGACATCTGCATACGTCTTCCTGATCTCCGTCTTCTTCTCCGTTTCCCTGCTCTTCATTTCCTCTACACACTGTATCATTGCTTCGTTCTGCTCTTGCAATGTGGAAATATTGCGCCCTTGAAACTCTCCTACTTCTCTAATGGCTTGTTCATTTTCGATTGCTGACTTCCTTATTATTCTTGTTTGGTCTTTTAGCGCCTCTGCCAACTGATCGATTTTGGCTTCCAACTTGCTGTACTCAGTTTCTGAGTGTGGATACTTCCTGTTCTTTAACTCGTTTCTGCAGGCTTTGCACATCCATGCCAGTGTGTCAGGGTGTTCCTGGAGTGCTTTGTATGCTTCCGTATGTATCTCCTGACATGCTGCGTGGAACCAACGATGACAAAGGTCACATTCCACTCCCTCATCTTCGTAGCCAACTGGAAGACCACATTTGTGCCCAGGCCCTCCCTTGCATATTGCCTCCTTACTCAGGTCAACTGATGATCTGTGTGCTGGTTCAAAAGCCTCAAAGACACTGTTGTCTAGTTTTCCAATGGCTTTCTCTGTTTCCATTTTCTTGCTCATTACTACTCGTCTTTCTTTGTCTTCTGCCCTGGCCATTTTTCCCTTCTCCGCCCTCTCTGCATCTCTCTTACCTTTCCCTTTGTCCGCGATCTGTCTTGTTGTAGGTGTTTTCCTGCTATTTGTCGGTGAGATTCCTGGCCCCATTTCGTGTTTATAGTTGTGTGTATAATCAAGATCAAGATTCAAAGCTATGTTCACAGCCCCGATTTTTCCTCAAGCCAAGCCCGCAAGCAACTTGCCTAGCAATTCGCATGCAGCATGCTCCGAGGCCCGATGCACATCCACCTCACACCCACATCAGCTTGCAAGGCGCCTGCATGCACACAGACACGTGCTGTTATATACAGGGTTTTTTTTTTTACACCTTTACCTTGAATGATAGGTAGGCGTCTTCCTTCTCCCACTTAACACATGCAATACAATCCTCATGTGCCGCGCCACAATTGCCTCAGTTTGCTGTGCCGAGTCCGACAGCTTCTCTCGCTTTCAGGAAGGAGATCCCGAGAGAAATGGACTGGTAAATGACGTTCCTCACAGATTATCGGTGAGATTATTTGCGGGATGGGAAGGAAAGGATTATGCTTACCAACCATTTACCGAAATGCAACCCACTCGCCCGAAATGCCCTCATTCCACAGCGCCGACACGTCAGCGTTTTGGAACTATTTCCTTTAAGCCATTGCTGGTAGGTTTGTCTATTTTAAAACTCGCGACCAGTGTACGCCAAATTTGGCAGCTCCCTATTCCACAATATTTTCAAGACGTCGCTTGGTCACTTCACCTTCCGGTTCCGCTTTCATCACTAACGTCTCTCAGACTTTGCTCCAAAGTCGCTTTGAGGGTAGAGTCACTGACTGGGAGAGCTCCACTCTACCGTCTTCAACGTTTGAATCAGTGAGCTCTGCCGTCACTTGCGTGACATCTGTGACATCTTTCGGCGACACGAGCTCAAACACTGTCTTGATGATCTCTTTTGTTCCAGCCACGGACGGACAAGTCAGAATCGCTGAACGATCCGTGATCCTGATAGAGATGTTGCTGCACTGATGCTGCAATTTTTTTTTTTGGCGTTCGGGACCCTTTTTGGTACACATTTAAGCGGCTTATCCGCTGTGGGTGATACCCAGGAGCTACCAACACGGTCAATTGTGGACGGTCGATACGGGGTGCCAGCTTAATAGTTTCTCTGCTTTATGTCACGCAGCACCATGAACACTGAACAGTGTAAACAAGACTCGTGCAGCGGCTGCATTCTTTTTATGGTGAAAAACTGATTTTTTCGGGATCCCGGGATTGACGGAATTTCGGGATCGGGATTGGGATTAAAATCCCGCCGGGATCCCGGGATCCCGATCCCGGGATTGCAATCTCTAGTGCTGTCATACGGCTCTCGGACCTAACCTCGGAGGAAGGGTCTCATCTAATCCATCACAGATCGGACATGCGTTGTCACAGACCGTACGTTGAGCTACATACTTACGACGAAATGTTAAACAAAGTTTCCAGACACTCCATGACTCTCTGTAGCCAAGAATTCGCATGGCAGCACAGACTGAATAATTGCTTCTCGGGTCACCGCTGTCATACTAAGGTAGTGTGTGACTTAGTGGACAGTCTGTGACTATCTACTGCCGATCATTAATTGATCCCATGGAAAGTTCGTTCATGAGCAATACAACAAACAGCGCCTGGTGGACTGGGAGCAGCGCCGTGACTGTTTCACCCGCCGGCATCAGGGGACTGAGACACCTGAGTCGATATTGCACTTGCGGTACAATAACTTTGTCGGCGAAAACCAACAGAATGCTATTGGATTGGACTGTGACTTCTTGATCGTCTCTTAACACGGATATGGCTGGACGCTCATGTAATATGCTGTTCTTGTTGCAGTTGACCTTTTAAATGAGGTCCTACATCGTCCGGCACCCTGGACCATAACGAGGCAATGATTTCTGTTCGAGACCCCAAGGTAAGCTTACCTACTTTTCATTGACATGACCTCTGTCGTTTAGGTATTCATTTTCTTATTCCAGTATCATATATTATTATGATCCTAAGTAATTCAGGGCTGCGGAGTCGATGGATTTTTGGCGACTCCGACTCCGACTCCGGCTTTCAAAAACCAATTCAGACTCCGACTCCGGGCTGGGGCAGAAACTGTCGACTCCGGCCGACTCCAACTCCGACTCCGACTTTGCAAACCTGGCAGGGCTACGGAGTCGATGGATTTTCGGTGACTCCGACTCCGGTCATGACTGTCGACTCCGACCGACTCCGACTCCGACTCCCCAGCCCTGCTTTGTATGATATTTCTAATGATATCTTATTTTATCTTTTTGTTTTATTATATACCTTTACTTTTGGCCTGTGCCACTTATGTCCATGTTCCGTATTTCTTTAATCGCCACCCGGCTCATTCATCGTGTGACCGGTTGGCTGTGTGTGCCATTTTCAGGAGTTTATACCTCACGGCCGGGGTCACTGCAGCCGCCATCCGCGGGAGGTCGGGCTGCCCCCGCCCTCCAGCGACGCTGCCGTAGCCGCCACAGTCACCGGCAAACAACAGGTAATGCGCCCGACGGCACCGAAACGTCCTCCTAACATTACAGCTCAATGCTGGTCTGTCCGATGGTGAGCTGGCTATTGTGATTGATTGTGAGCTGGCTATGCATGGCAGTGGCAGTGGCGGAGCCCCGCTGCTTCGCCGCACCATACCAGTATGAATAACGGCCCGTAACTCCACAATCCACATCCCAGCAAACGGGCCGCTGGAGGCTGTACCTGTACCCCGAGGACAGTGTACCGGCAGTGACGGTCTGTGTGTACAGGCGGGCCGCTGGAGGCTGTACCTGTACCCCGAGGACGGTGTACCGGCAGTGACGGTCTGTGTGTACAGGCGGACCGCTGGAGGCTGTACCTGTACCCCGAGGACAGTGTACCGGCAGTGAAGGGCCTGGCTGCTGCTGCCGCTGCTTCTGATGGTACCCCGAGGAAGGTGTGTCGATATATACAGGCGGACCGCTGGAGGCTGTACCTGTACCCCGAGGACGATGTACCTGGTACCAGCAGTGACGGTCCGTGTGTCTGTATATACAGGCGGGCCGCTGGAGGCTGTACCTGTACCCCGAGGACAGTGTACCGGCAGTGACTGTCCGTGTGTCTGTATATACAGGCGGGCCGCTGGAGGGTGTACCTGTACCCCGAGGACAGTGTACCGGCAGTGACGGTCCGTGTGTACAGGCGGGCCGCTGGAGGCTGTACCTGTACCCCGAGGACGGGGAGGACGCTGCCGAGGAGGAACTCTACACGGAGGACAATGTGCTCATCTGCAGCCGAGGGCAGGGCGCTCACCGCGCCTTCACGCTGGACGCACCCGTCTCCAACGCGCTCAGGTGAGGCTTACTGCTGGTTATGCTGGTTACATGGACTGAAAACGTGACAGCTGGCGAACCTCGTACTTTACGCAGATCGGTACATATTTTTTTTACAGTTCGCTTACCGCAAGTAATAGCGATCTTTGTGGCTACCGTAGAGTTATCTCCGGTGATTTCAGACTGATTTATATTTCTTATTCTATAGGCCTGCATATCGAGATTGATGTTTGTTCCATCCCCCTACAATTCTAATCCCTTTTCTACCGCTAGTACCCGGTGTGTGCGTTACCCGGTCCCTGACCCCCCGCTCGTCCTCTGCAGGTGTGAGTACACGTCCAGCGCGGCCGCCCACGTGCTCAGCGAGCACCCTCCGCAGGCGACCGACGCCAGCCAGCGGATCGCCGCGCTGAGCTGCGTGTCGGCGGCGGCCGTGCACTCGTGGACGGACGACGGCGAGCACTTCATCACACCGCTGCCATTCCAGGTGGGATGCATATCCTGCTGACGGGGCCCTCGGCTGGGGAAAGTGTGAAAACTGAGAGCTTCCTAACTGGCGATGAACGGGAGCAAAATAACTACCGTTATGTCGACACTTCCTGGAGCCCTTATTTACAACGATACACCATGTTATGCAGATCAAATGGACAATGGTTTATCTTTTTAAAATAAATTTACCTTAAGTATTTACCTTAAGTAAAGGTCATTAGGTACCCTTTCGAGTAATCAGACCCTTTACTCAAGAGATGCCTCCTCTTCTTCTGATGAAGACGAGTAGGCTGCCATGCTAGGTGAGGCCATACATTGATGGCCACGATGATCATTAGTATGAGAACTTGTAGTTGAACTTTTCAGGGTGATCCTTCCATTCCTTCCCCAGTCTGTACTTGAACACATCGACATTTGGAGCATCGATGGTGTGGGTTGACAGCTTGTTCCATGTCTGAGTTACTCGTGCCGCAAAGAAGGCTTTTCTGGGTCCCAATTGATGCTGAACTTGAAGTTTTTGATCGTGACCTCGGGTGACACGGCTGAGAGAGTTCTTGAACATGCTGTTGTGACAACACGGGCACTCTCTTTGGAAGTCCACCTTGTCAAAGCCTTTCAAAATTTTGAAGGTCTCGATGATGTCCGACCGTTTCCGTCGGAATTCCAGAGTAGGTAAATTAAGGCTCCTGAGGCGATCTGAATATGAAAGGTGAGACAGTCCGTTCACCAGCCTTGTTGCCCGCCGCTGCACCTGTTCGAGTGCATCTTTGTCCTTTTTGAACTTGGGACTCCATATAACAGTTGCATACTCGAGGTGGGGCCTGACAATGCTTTTGTACAAGGCTTTGAAAATGTCGCTGTCAATGTTTGCAAAGGTATGCTTGATTGCACCAAGAATTCTATTGGCCTTGTTAATCTGGTAAGTGACATGTTTTGAGAAGGATAGCTTCATGTCTATAGTGACTCCCAGGTCCTTTTCCTCACAGACTGCTTCAAGGGTATGTTTGCCTCCACCCATAGTTGTCATGGTATACTCACTTCCAGGATTTGTTGGTCCGAGATGCATGACCTTGCACTTGAGTGGATGAAAGATCATCTGCATTGTTTTTGCCCAATCTTGCAAAGAGTTGATGTCCTCTTGCAGATTGTGAAGTTCACCATCACGCTCGTTGATGACTTGGTAGACCTTGGTATCGTCCGCAAACATAGAGATATGACAATTTAAGAGGTCGGGAACATCACAGACAAACATGGAAAACAAGAGAGGCCCGAGCACTGAGCCTTGCGGCACTCCACTTGTTACAAACTCCCAGTCTGAGAGTGATCCATTGACGTTCACTCTTTGCCGCCTGCCTGTTAGAAAACTCCTTATCCACTGATGAGTCTTTGCATTCACCCCTAGAGCCTGGACCTGGGCTAGAAGCCGTTCATGGGGCACAGTGTCGAACGCTTTGGCATAGTCCAGAAACACAACATCCACTGGTAAGCTGTGGCTTAGCGCTTCCGTCCAAATATCAAGAGCTTCCAGTAGGTTTGTGACCGTAGATTTTCCTGTGATGAAACCATGTTGTTGGCGAGCGATAAGATTGTTTGTCTTCAGATGAGCGATGATGTCCTCGCATATGATCCTCTCCAGAATCTTGCATAATATTGATGTCAGTGACACTGGTCGGTAGTTCGCGGGATCACTTTTGTCGCCTTTTTTAAAGATTGGCGTGACGGTGGCCACCTTCCACTGCCGTGGAACTTCTCCAGTTTCAATACTTTTACAGAACAGAGATGTGATGGGTGTCGCAAGTTGATCAGCAAGTTCGTGCAAAACACGAGGGTGCATGTTGTCGGGACCTGGCGATTTATCAATCTTCAGTGTTTTCAGCTTGGCATGGACTCGCTGAACAGTTATCGCAACTTGCATCTCTGCCTCCAAAGGCTTTGGAGCTAGCGTTGGGATCGATGACTTGTCTTCCTTTGTGAAAACGCTTGCGTACTGATGATTCAATATATCAGCCTTGTGCTTGTCGTTAGTTGCCAGTTCACCATTAGCACTACGCAAGTCCGAGATACCACATTTTGATTTCCTGCGACGGTTGACGTAGTTCCAAAACACTTTGTGATTTCCTTTGACTTCTTTAGCCAGCTTCGACTCGAATTCCCGCCTTGCTTTCCTGGTCGCGTGGGTAGCTTCATTTCTTGCCTTGACATAACTTTCGTAATCATTACTGTCCTTGGTGTTCAGAAAACGAACCCAAGCGTGATGTTTTTTCTTTACCATTCTAAGAGCACTCCGATTCATCCACAGGGGATTTCCTCTTTTCGCTTTCTTGTTGGTGTCCAGCTTGGGCACGTACCTATCCATTAAATCCGTGATCGTTTGTTCAAGCGTATCTGCCATCTCATGCACAGATTTGCCTTCAAATAGTCCTTTCCAGTCAACGTCCAGTGCTTTCCTCATTTCTTCATAGTTGGCTTTGTGGTAATTCAGTACCGCACTCTTTCTTACTGGAACGTAAGGGACAAACGATATAGCAAATGAGACACTGGCATGATCGCTTGCTCCAACCGGGTCTCCAATTGTCAGTTGTTCCACCAAGTCTCGCTCATTTGTAAAGAGCAGGTCATCGAGAGTAGAGCGCTGTCCATCTCTGTATCTTGTTGGCTCTGTTATATGCTGTAGAAAGTAGGTATCGTGTATACATTCGATAAACTTACGAGCTGGGCTGTTCTGACTGACACCTTCTGGAACTTCTGGGTCCGGGGTCCAGAATATTTCTGGGTGGTTAAAGTCACCGACTATAACCTTGTGCGAATGATTTGTGGATGCTGCCCAGCCAAGCATTTTGTGAAGATCAGGATCTTGAGGAATAGCTTTACTTGGTGACCCGCTTCTGTAGACCACCCCAACAAGCATACTTGCTCCACCCCGGGCATTAATCGTAATCCAGGTGCAATCCTGAAAGTTGCAGTCTCCCGTGGGATAAACTTGTTTGGCCATCAGATTCTTTTTTACATAAATTCCCGTGCCCCTAGTAGCTCCGGCTGAAAAGTTGCTAGTAAATAATTCGTAGTCGGGCAGTTCCATTACAGGGTGTTCAGGCATCAACCCAACTTTAGGTTTCATTTCTGTTAATGCAAGAATATCATAGCTCTCAAGTGCAGTGAGTGCCAGCATCGCGTCGTATTTACTCATAATAGAATTGTCGATGTTGGCATAAAACACTTTCAATGAGTTAACAGTATGGGTTACAGGCCCGGCAGGTTTCTTGTCGTCTTGAATGTCTAGTCTCGCTGTGATGGAACCATGACAATTTCGTTCCGTTTGATCATCCATCTCTTTTCTGGGAAAGCTTGGCGCTTTTCCTGGAGCAGTGCTCGCAAGTTTTTTGAAGCTTCAAGCTGGCATTTTGTCAGATCTGGACGGATAAAGACACTGGCATACGTTTCGTCGTGGCTTGTTCGCAAATCCTTCGCTTTAGCCAAGATCAGCTTCTTCTCACTCAGCGCTTCAAGTTTCACTCTCAGTATTCTGGAACCTGTGTCTTTCTTCTTTCCAAGCCGTGTCGCCTCCTGTAACTTCACAGATAGTTTAAACTCAGATTTGATCATTTCTTTGAATGCTGTAATGTCTCCTTCGCTGCTACCGGTCTCAGGGAGGTTGAAAACTGCCAAGTTGAGTTTCCTATTTTCGATGTCTTCTAGTTCACTGAGACCTCTCTTCAGGGCTCTGGTATCAGTGTCCTTTTTTACTAGGTTTGACTTTACAGTCACGGACAGTTCCTCTAGTCTGGTTTCCAATGCTGTCATGCTAGCTGCTGCTTGAGCGTAGCTAGGACTGCGCACTTCCGCTGATGCCGACCCACAGCTTTTTTCCACTTCTTGCAATCTTTTTTCGAGCTTTGCTTGGAGGGCAGCGATCTTTTTGTCATTTTGTGTGACGTTGGCATTGGAAATGGCTTCGATGGCGTTGACTCTAGCCTGCAGCTCCTTTTGCCCCGCCTCAAGCTTCTGGTTGGTCTGTGATATATCAGCTCTCAATGCGGCAATTCCAGCAGAGTTTTGATCGGATGTAGTGGCGAGCCGATCGAGTTCGGATTTGATGGACAGCTGCTCTCGCTGCAACGCTATGATCTGAAGTCTCAGTTGCTTAGCTCCCTCCTTGCATGCCCGACAGAACCACGCACAACTGTCCGCATCATCCCCAAGGGCTTCGTACAGTTTGTCCGATACTCCTTGGCAAACAACATGGTATCTTAACAAGCACACCCCACATTCCAGTGATCGGTCTTTGGCGCCCATTTCCATCTGACAAGAGCCACACAAGTTTGAAGCGATTTTTACCTTTGCATCATTTTCATTTTTGGAAAGATTCGTTTTTTCATTCATTTTCTTGTTCCTTTTTCTTTTGCCTGCAATGATCCATTCGCTGCTTTTGGGGTCATAACCCTCAAAAAAGTAGTCCGAGTCATCGTCCGAAGAGCTGTGCATAGCGCAATCTTTAAAGGGACACTCCCACCTTAACATTAGTTTTGAGTTGAGATAGCCAAATTGGTGGCCATGGCCTGCAAATACCGGTTTGGGCACTCACAACATCGACAAATGCTTTAATTCGGAGATATGGAATTTCAAACTTGCAGTTTTCGGATTCTAAGGGGCTAGTGCATTGGTATGCCCCCTTAGAATTTGTGACGTCAGCGGAGATCTAAAGATTTTTAAATCTTTTACTAAAACGTTTGGTAGCACGCGGTGGTATATGCTGCTTTGCGCGCAACAAATGCCGCACTTTCAAATAAAGTCGCTAGGAACAGCGGAGATCCCAAAAAGTAAACAAAAGTAAAAGTCTAATATCTTGAAAACCGGTGAATATTTTTCGATGAAATTTGGTAGATATTCGTTTTCGCTCTTTCTGAACCGAGCGACATCACTTTCATGCCAATTCATTAACTTTTTTGAAGGTGGGAGGGTCCCTTTAATCACCTTTCAAGTTTCAGTGCGTAAATCCTGCGATTGCTAGACCTAAGCCTATAAAGCACGTGCTTTCAGAGTAAAAATCAATCAGAATTGACCTTAATTGAACCGTAATACTTTCCAAAACTAATGAAAATAATTCATTTTTTAAAATGTTTCTAGCAGTCTTACACGTAACTTATGCTTAATCAGTATACACCAGAAACAATCTATGATAAAATGCGAACATTTCTGTGCATTTTAAAAGCAGTACGTTAGCTGGTTACGGTATATATCTTAAAATAATGGAGCACTTTCAAACACGTCCGACTGATCCAAACGCCACCACGTTGGTCAAATTTAGTTCGAACTTTTTGAATGGAAGGATTCACAAGGACAGAGCCTCCGCTAAGCGAAGCTTGTTGCAGTGACCCTGCCCTCTACCCTTCGATCGTGCAACTCCGGTTCTATGGCAGAATTTGGAACCCAAGGTGTGCTCATAGCCGCACACGGCCAGCCCCCTCACTGACTTCGCCTGGCTACGGCCTGCCACCAACCGCAACCATACCCGTCAGGAGGCCCCGGGAAGTACATATAGTCGTAACTTCCCGGAGTGTTGTCACACAGCCGTGTGCGTGCGATGTGGTTAACAGGTACGACGCCTGTGGGCCATGAACGAGGGCCTGCTGGTGGAGCGTCACGTCACCGAGGACGACAAACTACCCACGCTGTTCTCGCTGCTGCACCCGCTCGACGACATCGCGCCGCTCATCACCCGCATCGGTGAGATGGCCAGTCGGTCCGTGAGACAGCTCACCCGCTCCGTGAGACACTGCTCACCCGCGCCCGGTGGGACGGCTTACTTAAGCAGACATTTCTCAGTTGCGCTGTGAGGCAACTCTCACTCGCTCCGTAAGACAGATCGATGGGAGAGATAGCTCACTCGCTCCGTGAGACAACTCATTCGGCGAGACTCAGTCAGACAGCTCACGGCAGGACTCGCAGAGACCGACGCGAACTCGTTTCTGCCGAATGTCTTTCATTGCAAGACGTTACGATGTTTGTTTGACGTCCGGTAAATGCATGAGCGTTTTCTTGTCAAGCATTCCGTCCACAACATTCTGCACTAATTGCTTAAATATTTTAATGAGTTGATGTACGAGGGGGTATCGAAAAGTTCTGATCATCAACATGAATTAGATGTGATAGAAATTTGATTTTTTTACATGATGTTCATTACTCCTTTACAAGTCACCACACACGACCGCAAACTTATTGCATCGTTTCTTGAGCTGCCTCAGGCGGTCATTGTAGGACCTTCGCACTGTCCCGTAAATCACTGCTCCACCTCATCAATGACGTCATTTCTGTCCTTAAATCACCGGCCATACTGTGGATTCTTCATCTCCCGTAACAATCAAAAGTCAGTTAATACCCGGTCAGGTGAATTTCTTAGATGCGGTAGGATTTAATGTCCACATCATGTTGTTTCTTCAATCGCAGCTCAGGACGAATGGGCGGGGGCGCTGTCGGTGCGGATAAAACATCTTTCTTGGGCTTTTTGGCGGCGATTCTGCTTGAGGCCATCTCGCAACTTCTTCAAAAGTGTGCAGTAGTGCTTGCTTATCATTATCCGACCAACATCAAGACAGTCGGTAATGACTATCCTACGCCAGATCTAGAACACTGATAGCACTGACCTTCCATATCGGCTTCTGCATCTTCGCCTTTTAAGGACAGATGTGCCGTGCTTAAACTTCTTAAGATCGTCTTTTTGTCTCTGGATCATACACATAGACCCAGCATTCGTTACAAGTCATCAAATGATCGAAGATGTCTTCAATCTTCTAAAAAAAACCTAAATTTCATTTGGAAAGGCCAAGACGCATTTTTCTCTTGAACAAAGTAGGCGCACGAACTTCTAAGCGGCCTGACTCTTTTATCGTCCGTAGTTCTTCGCTGATAATATTTTCAGGCACTGCCAGCATTGCGACCTTTCTGTTGCACAATCATCTGAAAGGTCAGACGACGATCTGTAAGGATGAGGTCCTCCACTTCCTTCACAGTCACCACCTTGTCAGTCACTGGTAGTCACCCACTTCTTGACTCCCCTGCAAGTGCCATGCAACCAAGTTGAAAATTATTTCTTCATTTTCGGTAAGTGCATGAGATGGGCTTTCCTCGACATAAACTAATTTCACGTTTTTGATGTATTGTGTCAGTGTGATACCGTTTCAAATGCGTTAGTTGGATGACGATTCGGTCCTCAATGGGCCCAATACTCATCTTTTTTACTTCTAAGTCTCTCCTACATAAGATAAAACCACTTCTCAGGACTCTCTTTGCGGGAGCATTGTTCTTATGAACCAAATATAATACCAACCAAAAATCATCAAAATCGGTCTATATCTTCTATGTGATGATCAGGACTTTTCGATACCCCCTCGTAGTTTGATTAAATGTTACTTATATCGTACGCTCAAGACACGATAAAAGTGCGGCTGTAAGCAAGACTTGCTTAGTACGCCTGTGCTCATTCTCAAGCCTTCGCCTTCCAGTCTGTCTGATCCCCCCCCCCCTCTCACAGGCGCCTGTGAGCCCAGTCTGGCCACGGGCAGCCAGGTCTCTGTGGCCCTGGTGTGCCGCCGGCCGCCGCTCTGCGTCACCTACGACCAGCAAACGGGCACACACACCGTGTGGCGCGTGCGGCGCACAGAGCCGGCCGAGTGGTGGGCGCCCGACGCCGGCGAGCTCACCATGGCCGCCACGCCGCGCTCGCTGTCACACTGCTCGGTGGGCCCGTCGCCGGCGCACGGCTCTCAGCTGAGGTCCGAGGGCGGCACGCCGCTGCCGCGCAGCCGCAACAACAGTCGGCTCAACGCCTCCGCGGCGCTGCACAGCCTCTCCGCCGGGCCCGGGCCCCACAGGTGAGGCATAGCGGAAATGAAGTCCAAGGTTTTCGAATGCGCTGATCATTTTCGGGGCAAGATTGCATGACTGTGGCCATTACCCGCTGGGAGCAAATAGCAGGCGCCGAAGCGGATTGGATGGACGCCTCACCACCAGTCACGGGTCATCTTAGGCGGCTACTCTGTCCCCACGGAGCTACTGGGGCAGTTCATTTCGCGATTTTATTTCTTTCAACCTCGCAAACTACTGTGATGTGATGTATGCAATCTGTAAAGGACATGTGCATGGATCCTTCCGTTCAACGCACACACCTTATGATTTTATTCCCACCACTGACCGTCGAGCTAACTAATGACTATCCCATTTCGCCCTCTGCCGTACAGCCGCTCCCAGTCTCCGAGCGTGCTGGCCCTCTCCGCCAACACAGCCTCGTACCTGCGGCTGCACGTGACGCCATCCCCGCAGCGGCCCAGCGCGTCCACCACGGCCGGCTCGGTGCTCGACGAGACCATCCTGGAGCAGGGCGAGCCGCTGCGGCCCGAGATCTGCCTGCAGCACGTGTGGCGCGACTCGCTGGCCACCAGGTCAGTCGGAGGTGACGGGGAGGTCGGGGAAGGACGAGAATGGGGAGATAACGTGACAGATGGGGTACACATTGGGGGCGCAGATAAGATTGAAAAAAGAAGCTTATCTGCTCCTCTGTGTCCAACGTAATGGATGGGTAATGGGTAACTGACTGTTGTTACTGTAAAAACATATAGGATGCTTACCATGAGTGGTTTCTAGGAGTGGTTTGCCAAGTGGCAGTAGATTTCTTAACCCTCCAGTTTTCTGGCTGCTTAACCCTCTCCCCTTCTCCCGGCCACGTTTCAGTGAGCCGGCTCGCGGCGGTTTCCTGACCACCGACCTGTCGGGCGTCAGTTACGTGGTGCTGCTACTGCCCAGTCGCGGCCAGGCGCGTCTGATCCGACTGGACACGGCGGCTGACGGCGGGCTGACTGTGCGCGGACAGGGCACCACGCTGCAGGCCAGGGACGCAGTGGCAGTGCCGGTACGGAGGGGAGAGGAAGGGCTCATTGTGGCACCTCGCTGCAGGCCAGGGACGCAGTGGCAGTGCCGGTACGGAGGGAGGGGGAGGGAGGGCTGACTGTGCGCGGACAGGGCACCACGCTGCAGGCCAGGGACGCCGTGGCTGTGCCGGTACGTGGGAGGGGGCTCTGTGCGCGGGCAGGGCACCACGCTGCAGGCCAGGGACGCCGTGGCAGTGCCGGTACGGAGGGAGGGGGAGGGGGCCGCGGACAGGGCACCACGCTGCAGGCCAGGGACACCGTGGCAGTGCCGGTACGGAGGACGGACGGGGTCGGTTCTGGGGGATCTTATTTTGGATTGGCTGGTCCAAAGCGCCACCGATTAATGTGAGCTGAACCTGATAGAAAATTTCAGCGTTATAGCGGTAATTGCTCAGTATCTTACTTTATGAAAGTATATGCTGTGTTATAGTTGAAATGTCTAATGTAGCTAAAAGTTACACCATGCAGCACTAAATGCGCCAACACTAAGTAGCCTCCCGGCTGTATCAGTAACCATTGCCCCCGTCTGCCGCCAGTCGACCAGCACGATGCTGGTGGTGGACCAGTGCTCGTCCCTGCTGCTCTACAGCGGCCTGTTCCGGCTCTGTAAGGTGCACGTGCCCGGCATTCCGCCGCCCTCACTGAGTCTCAGCCTGACACTGCCGCCCAGTCTGCCGGGGTCGCCATTCTGCCCGCCACGGTCAGTACGTCACGGTCAGTTGTGTGACAGTCACTGCTTCGGTAGTGGGGTATCGTAGTGAAAAAAAGCTAAGGTTCGGCTCTATTATTAAAGAAATGACAGTCTGGATGTTTTTCATCGCGAGTAACATCAATATTACCTTATTAATTGGTAATATCGGTGGAAGAAGGCTACAACGTTACATTGTTTCTAGGTGCGAACCGACCTTTGTGAATTTCGATGAGTCAGCTTATAATTATAGAAATAAATTTCAATTTAGCGACGTCTTCGCTGCTCCTGATGATCGTCGGTCACCAGCATGCAGCAAAGTTGCCGATGTGCATTATAATCCGATTTAGCCAACGTGTTTCCTTCATTAATGACATGTGTGTAACGTGATTGTGCCTCTGCGACCGCCTTTGTGACCGTTCACCCGTCCGTCCGATGTCACCAGGAGGAGCAGCTTGGTGGCGTCAGCGCGCGGCGGTGGCGGCGGCGGCGGCCTGGAGGCCCGGTTTGATGACGCCCTGTCCCTGACCCTGTCCCCGGTCCGGCCGGAGCCAGAGCAGCCCGACCCGTCGCCGCACAAGTGAGTCTCTCTACCGCTCTGATGGCCTTCTTTGCTTGTTAATGGTCAGCTTAGATGTAGGTACAGCCCACCGCTAAAGTAATGTAGAGTTTTACCAATCTCAACGGTTGGCTTTGACTGGCGATTGTTTAATGCGGAGTGATCGAAAAGAAGATGTCAATAGCTAAAGTTGCAGCTGCAAGGGTGACGATACATATAAGCTACATTCAAAGTTTCATTGTAGTGTGGCTAATCGTTCCTAAGCTTCAGAAGCGAACATACCCATGACTGAAATCACACATTACTTCTGCTGTGGACTTTACCTGTGATTACGCACTTAATACATGTGACACTTAATCAGGCATCGGTAAAATCCTTTTTGAAAGGATTGCATTCCCAATCCACATTCCTAGTGCCGAATTGGATTGCATTCCAACCCGCAATCCCCTTTTTTCACTTGGATTGTGATCAAATCGGCAATCCTTTTTTGCAATCCTGTTGTATCATTATGTGCACTAGTGGATCTGGGGGAGGGAGGGGGGCATAGGGCCGTGCCTCCATCCCCAAATCACCCATTTCTAGTACCTAGTCTTGCGAGTAATTCCTATGACCTATCTAAGGCACAGGTATTTTATGGGAAATATTTTTTGCCTCAAACACCCCGGCACATTTAAACCTCTACCCAACCAGTGTTTTATATTTTTAAAACTCGCCCTCAAATACGTAATTTTGCCCTTCCTATGTAGTTCATCAGCGTATATTATTTTGAGCCTTTAAATTAAAAGCGTTTAAATTATTTCCAGTTTCGATGTAAAGCCCTTGATAGCAAATTACATTAAGCCGATGAAGCCGATTTCATAATTTTCATTCGCAACAAACCATTTCAAAGCACTAATCAAACACAATCCGAATTGGATTGCAAAAATTGGAAGTATGATGCAATCCAATCCGCAATCAAATCCTGTTTTTTGGAATGGATTTCAAATCCAGGTGCAATCCACCAAAAAGGAATGCAATCAGGATTTTGCAATCCTGCAATCACAATCCTACCGAAGCCTGCACTTAATACATGTGACTATTTTTAATAGATTTTTTTTTTTCAGCTGCTACAAGTATTCGTTTATCTTTGCTTATGCTTTTACTCATCGACTTATTCTATTTCAGTGATGTTAGCGTCATGTGTTCTTTATTGCGTCTGGTATAAGGTGTAAAATCATCTGGCTTCAAATGCTTTTTTCTTGTTTTGCATGTTTTGTTCTAAATCTTATGTATTTTTCATTCCGTTCCTCTCTTCTCTCCCCTCTGCTCCCTGCACCTCACCGTTCCCCAAATAACCGCCCCGCTCTCCGTGTCGTGCCAGGTTCGACAGCAGCACGGGTCAGGAGGACGTCACCATGCCGCTCTCTGGGTCTGTAGTCGCCCTCAGAGACGTCTGTGGAGACTCGGTCATCATGGTGAGTGAAGTGGGCACGGAGGAGCGGTCGGTAGTGATTGCAGAGCTGTTACATGGGAGGCTTGGTCAGCGAAGTAGGAGTCACTGTATGGAGGGTCAATAGTTAATCCCCAGTCGGACTTCAGCCAGCGTGCAGCTAAGAGGTCTGTTTATTTCTTTGCGCTGTTGATTGGATTCTGTGTTTCACATGCGGAGTCGCCCGATTAGTGTTTTCAAACTAGTGTGCTCGGCACTCGGCAGCTAGTCCATTGTTAGCATCGTGCTATGTGGCAAACGGACTCTTAATTGCGGAGCTAAATAAAAGTCGTCTCAGGTGGATAACTATGCTGATGATGTTTCTGCTTAGCGGCTTAATCAAAGCAACAAACCAAAAGACTAGCAGGACCGGTCTCATCGGGTCATTCCGTCTGACCCGTCCTGTCCCCTCCCGCAGGAGCACAGCTCCGGCAGCCTGTACCGGTTCACGGTGCCCTCTCCGGCAGACAGCGGCGTGTTGGCCGCCTGTCTGCGCGCCGCGCGCGGCTGCCTGCCCCGCGAGCTGGCCAACCAGCTGACGGCACGCTGGTTTATGGCGCGCCACGCGCCCGGCGCGCGCCACATGACGCCCGAGAAACGGTGGCGCGCCTTCGCCGCCACGCTGCTCCGTGAGTGAGACCGAGGGTGTGATTTGGGTTGGTATTGGGATATTGTTCATTGTTCTTCACAAGCTGATGTCAATACCGTTTGTGTGATGCGCATATCAGAGTTTTCATACGTCATAAACTGGCTGGCGAATTGATTACAACGTGGGCCATTCATTCATGAAGTTGAGTCGTATCATTAGCAAAGTCTCCATTCTGATTGAATGATTCATTGATGCTCAAAGCCTGGTTTGTTTTAGTATTAGCTCGCGCTTGTTTACAGCGCTTATTTTTGTACCGCTCACCGCCGCTCACTATCTCACTGCACGCACCGTCTCTCACCTCTGCCGCTGTGTGTTGGCCAGGTATGCTGGGATACCAGGTGGAGCGGCTGCCGATCGGGCCGCTGGTACCGTCCCTCATAACCTCCTGTCCCCGCCAGGCATGCTGGGGTACCAGGTGGAGCGGCTGCCGATCGGGCCGCTGCTCGACGTGACCGGGCCGAGCGTCAGCCACCAGCGCGGCAAACGCTCCCGATCAGAGGACGGCACGGACGAGGTGAGCGGTGGTAGGGGCAGGGTTGGGAGGTACCGCGGGACGGGAGACGGCATAGTCAGAACAGGGAGCAGCGTCCGAGGTACCGTGAGAGAGAGGAGTTGGGGAGTGGAGAACCGATTGATCTAGAGGCTGGTGGGTTTGCTGGGCAGCAATCGCCTAGCCACAACAGAATGTCATGCTTTACCTATGCGACCGTCGAAAATTTTCTGTGGTCATCTTCATAATGTTTCCCTAGCCACCTCACGAGTCATCTTGCTGAAAAAACTATCTTTGGAGCTGTGTACCTACATAAAAAGTTGGTTTCTTCTACCCACCCCGTCAGGACTGGGAATTTCTGGTGGTGTGACGTCTACACACCATGTTGGATAAGGCAGCTAGCACCGAGTTAACCAGCCTGTACTCCTTACCACCCCGCCAGGACTGGGAGTTTCTGTTGGCGTCCACGCACCACGCCGAGTTCGTGTCGGAGCGCGGGGCGGCGCCGGCCGCCGGGACGCCCTCCGAGTACCGCGTGGAGCCGTCCGCGCCGCTGTTCCCGCACATCGCCACGCTGCTCTTTGTCCTCCACCTGGTCTATGAGGTAGGTCACCGGGGAGATAGAGAGCTGATGAGGGAGAGGCGAGGGGAGCTGGATCGTCGCGACCGCAATCTAATGGAGACTGGAGAGCTAATGCTACCTTTCGGTATGCTTTTCAGTTTTTATGCTGGCTAAATAGCGAAACCAAGTGCTCGCTGCTTTTACTGCTGTTATATTCTGGACCGCTCGCCATCCCTGTTATTTCTCCTGGACAGGTCTCTAAGCTGGACTATCCCAGTGCATGTTGTGGGGACAGTGTCTGACCCCCCTCCCCCCTCCTTCGTGGACAGGACTGTACGCTGGACTCTCTGAGTTTGGACCTGCTGCTGGCTGTTATACCTGATCCCCTCCCCGCTCTTGACAGGACTGTAAGCTGGACTCCCTGAGTGTGGACCTGCTGCCTGCCATGGCTGCCGTGCTCCAGCAGTTGGCCCTGGACCTCGGCTGGGACGGATATGTCGACCACTATTGGAGGGACTTCCCCGGGCAGTGCCGGCAGCCGGGCGAGCCGCACAGCAGCGGAATCAGTCAGCAGGTCAGTCGTCTGCTAACTGATCAGTCAGCAGGTCAGTCGTCTGCTAACTGATCAGTCCTCAGGTCAGTCCCCGGACAGTGCCGGCGGCCGGGCGAGCCGCACACCAGCGGCATCAGTCCGCAGGTCAGTGCGTGCGATCAGTATGGTGGGCCAGTCCGGTAAGATAGGGTTTGCTTACTGTCGTAACATCCACCATCCTATAACTTCTACGTGTATGACAGTTCCCTACCGCCAGGACCGTCCGACCTGCCACCTAAGCAACTTCACCCTAATCCGCCTATCTCCCCAGCTCATGACCTCAGTCCAGCACCTAGCATACGTCAGCCGCCGGACTTGAACTGGTCCGTCTCTCTTTTCCCCAGGACATGGCATCAGTGCAGAACCCGGTCTATATCAGCCGCCGGACCTGATCTGACCTGATCTGACCGGACCGGACCCGTGTCACTCCCTCAGGACATGACCTCAGTGCAGTATCCCAGCTACATCAGTCACCAGCCGACGGACCTGATCTGACCCGTGCCCCCCCCCCTCCCCCTCCACACACACAGGACATGACCTCAGTGCAGTACCCGAACTACATCAGCCGCCAGCCGCCGGACCTGCTGCAAAGTCTGGAGGACCGGCCGCCGCCGGACGCCGCAGGCTTCCCCCATTTGGCCGGCGTTAACGAACTCTCGGCACACATGGTCATGGTGAGAGTTCGACATACTTGCTGAGAGCTTACGAATGGACAGCGCGGATTGTGCGCTCAGAAACTCAGAAGTTAAAACGCCGACATTCCCTCGAATGAGACTTAATCGCTAAACAAGTTTTCGTTTCTGCTAATTTAACGTGATATAGTTAAGCCTAATTTTGATGTCATGAAGCTCTTCAAATACGACACTAAAGAAACTCCGCGTAAGTGGACCGCGCCTCTCCACCCCGCCGATCTGCAGCGCCCCGTCTGTGCCCTCGGACAGGTGTACGCCCTGCTGCGCGGCCAGGGGACGGAGCTGGCGGCTCTGCTGCGGCCGGTGCCGCCGCCGCCCGGTCCCAGCGCCGAGCCGGGCGCGCTGCTGGGCGCCGTGACCGAGCTGCTGGCCGACCAGCAGACGCGCGACGCCCAGCACCAGCAGCGCGGGCAGCAGCAGCAGCTGTCTGAGCAGGAGCAGCGCCAGCAGCTGGCCGTCCGGCTAATGGACAAACTCGGTACGACACGGCAGCAGCGCATGGTAAAGAGAGCGCTAATGGCGAATGGACTGCGTAGTCTGACCGCAGGGTACCCTCGCTTAGTTGTGTAGCATACTAATTTGTTGCATGTCAATTGTCTGCAAAAGTTAGTAAAATGTCAGCTTTATTTCAGTTCGCGCAGCGGAGTGCAGATGATTTTGTAGCTGTATGTGTCATGCTGATACTGTGTCCGTGCGCTATGTTGATTCTCTGTCTCTGCCCCGCAGGTTACGTCTGGTCCCGTCTGCAGCAGCTGCCGGCCGGTGTCCGGCTGCCGCTGGTCTGTGCCGTGCTGGCGGTGCGCGCCGCCCCGCCAGCAGACTGCTCTGACTCTCTGTGTCGCCTGGTGGGCCGAGAGGAGCTGACGGGCGCCGCGCCGCCGCCACCGGGCCCGCCGCCGCCGGCGCCACTACCGTCCGCGCAGCAGCCGGCCGACAGCCAGCCGACGCAGGGAGACGGCGCCGAGGACGGTGAGCGTCGGGGCGGGGGAATTTGGGGAGGTTAGGGATGAGGGGGATGATACTCTCCATAAGCATCATTCCATGCTGCGTAATACTTTCATGGTAGTGGTGTCAATCGGAACTTGAATCTTCGGAATTCCGATTTTGTCCAATGTCCGATTCGGAATTCGGTTGGACAATGGCAGCAGGCCTTGGACAACTTTGGACAATCGCTTGCTACACCTCAACATTTTAAAAAAGTAGTCGTCTTTAACATTGATTGGCTATGAGAAAGCTCAGCTTTCGATATGATTACAGATTAACACTTCTGAGCTTGTAATGGTACATGAAAAGCAAATTAAATAACAGTGTTGAGTGTAAACTATTGCGTAGGTGTCGGACATCTTTGGACAAATGGCTGGCTTGGACATTTTTGGACGGACAATCGACGTAAGCATTGGACATTGGACGGACTTTGGACATACGTTTTCTGAAATTGACACCTCTATTTCATGGTGATTATTTTGCCATTAATGAATGGAAATATAGCTCTAGTTTAATAGTTCTAACATCATTTTTTTATGCAAACCGCCTGCGTGCAATGGCCCCTGAGGGTCACTTTTTCATTGACGTTTGCGTAAAGCTACCCGCGTCTATCAGCGTTTTTGATGTCCGATCCCGCCCGCCCCTCAGGCTCGGAGTGCGTGGACTCTGAGCTGGTGCAGCTGCTGTGGCCGGCCGACCACCGGCTCGAGGAGGCGCACCAGATGCTCCAGTCCAGCCGGCCCGTCACCGTGGCCGCGCCGCCGCGGCCCGAGCTCTCCGACCACGAGCGTATGGACGAGCAGAAGCGGCTGCTGTACGCGCTGTGCCAGCGCACCATGGCGCTGCCCGTGGGCCGCGGCATGGTGGGGCTGCACTCGGCGGCGCCGGTGGTCACCCAGCCGCTAGCCGTGCCGCCGCTCTGTCTGACGGGCCGCGCGCCGCCGCGAGGCGCCACCGTCGACCTCAGCGAGATGGACCTGCCGGCCAACATGAACACGTGGCCACACTTCCACAACGGCGTGGCGGCCGGCCTGCGCGTGGCGCCCGACGCCGAACAGATCGACGCCGCCTGGATACTCTACAACCGGCCCAAGGTGGGAGGATAGTGGGGCTTTAAACGGTGGAGCAGGGAGACAGTCAGACCGACTGGCTGTCGGCTATCCTAGTATCTACACGTCCGTGTCTGCTATAATTATCTGATTTCTCCTCCCTGTTTTTTATTATTACATTATTCACCGCAATGACACATTATTGAAGGATCCTCACCAACTCTTTCGTGGTTGTTATTAACAATCAGCATGTCGGGAGAACATGCATAACAAAATCGCGTGTGCACAAGTGTTAATTAAATGAGTGTGACGAGAACGGGAAACTGCGGATGATTCAGAATATAAAGTAGAACTTGGAAAATGTGTACTTGAATTTCATTTGCATATCATTCATGGCGCGGTCGGTGGAAGAAAATGAAATGAACCCACCACAAAACACACAGAATCCTGTTCTAATTACTCTCACCGAACTGCAGTTTCGTGCTCTCCTGACGAGAGAAAACTCGACAGCAACACCACGGGCATGCCGCCCGACGGTAGCCTTGGATGCCAGTGACGAAGACTGGAGATTGTTTCTCTTTCAATGGGAAAGATACAAGACAGTCGCTGGACTTGTTAGAGAGGAAGCCATCAGACACGAGCTCCTATCGGCATGCAGCCCGGAGTTGGAAAGACAGTTGTTCCACTTGCGAGGAACAACTCTAAGTCAGTCGAATGAGGCCGATCTTCTCTCTCAGATAAAGGCGGTGGCAGTTCGTGGCCTGCATACTGCGGTTCATCGGAGCCAGTTCCACGCACTTCGACAGGCCCAAGGTGAGGATATCACGCATTTCGTAGCGCGGCTACGTTCCAAAGCCGCTCTCTGCGACTTCTCAGTAACTGCGCATAGACCTCACGCAGAAAGCACCGAGCCCGGCCCGATCAGTTACGAGGAGGACGTGCTACAGACGCAGATGGTTGTCGGTCTTTACAACCCAGAGCATCAAAGCCAAATTCTATCGGCAGCCGATCGGTATCCGACATTCGCACAGAAATTCCAGGCCCTTCTCACGATGCAGGCTGCCGACGATAGCGAGAAGCAGCTTCAGACGGGCGTGTTGCCGACCAGCAGACAGGCAGCACCAGATATTGCGGCGGCTCATCGCTCTGCATATCAACAGCAGCGACACAAACCTGACAAGCCGCCCAATGCTGACAGCCAGGAGGAGCTCAGTCCGTGTCGCTGGTGCGGAGGGCGGCACAGGACGTCCGGCAACAAGTACCAGCACTCATCCTGCCCAGCACGTGGTAAGACTTGCACAAATTGTCAGAAGCGAAATCACTTCGCTCGTGCATGTCGGGCTGCCCAGCCAGTGAGTGCAAGCGCTGAGTCGTCCCTGGACGCGTTCGGAGACGGTATGGATGAGATATCAGCGCACGCTAACGTCTCCGGACCGGCTCAGTCAGCCAGCGCCCTGCCGTCTAGCACTACTGCCAGATCTACAGTCTCCCAAAGCAGTGCACAATCAGTGTCTCACATGGAGTGGAAAGATGGTCAGTTCACGACTTGCCAGCCAAAACGCCATCCAGAACTTCCAGTCACGCTCACCATCATGCAGGAAGTCCATTCCAGATTCGGGAAGCGTCTCACAGGGATCGAGCGCAGTAAAGTCGACCACGGCGTGCGCGCCACAGCGTGCGCTGACACTGGAGCCATGACCTGCTCTGGGGGGATGGAGATTTTGAAACTCCTGCGCTGTCCGGAACACCTTCTCCTGAAAACCTCACACCGCATCATTGGCGTAACGGGCACACGATTGGAGGTGATAGGCTCACTTCTGCAGCTGAGGATTGAGGCCAAAGGACGAGTCACTAGACAAGTAGTGTACATCTCGCGCAACACGCACGGCCTCTATTTATCTGAAAGGGCCCTCAGAGACCTGGGAGTCGTGCCGGAACACTTCCCTTTGCCCGAAAACGGACCGGACGGATCTAAGGTTACGTCCCAGCGCACAGACCCAGATGAGGTCAACGAAGCACAGACCCACACAGCGCCCTGTGGGTGTCTGAAGAGGTCACCAGTGCCCGCGATCCCGGAGAAGATGCCGCTTCCAGCCGTCGAGGAAAACAGGGAGAAGTTAGAGCACTGGATCAGAGACCATTTTGCCAGCAGCGCATTCAATACCTGCGAGCACCAGCCACTCCAGGAGATGACGGGCACACCACTAGATATCCAGTTCAAGGCCGATGCAACACCGACGGCTGTTCATACGCCCATTCCAGTCCCCCACCACTGGAAAAGACAGGTAAAGGCCGGTCTGGACCAAGACGTACGTCTTGGCATAATTGAGCCGGTGCCACAGGGAACCCCGACACGCTGGTGTTCGAGGATGGTGGTCGCAGCGAAAAAGGATGGCTCTCCTCGTCGGACAGTAGACCTCCAGCGGGTGAACGAGGCCACCCTCCGAGAGACTCACCATACGCCCAGTCCCTTCAATCTCGTCGCTAGCGTGCCACCCGGGACAAAGAAGACTACCCTGGACGCATGGAATGGCTACCATAGCCTATCACTGGCCGAGAACGCGAGAGAAGCGACAACCTTCATAACTGAGTGGGGAAGGTATCGCTACAAGCGCGCACCTCAGGGATTTCACGCCTCCGGTGACGGCTATACACGCCGCATGGATGACATCACTGCAGGGACGGAGCGTCTTAGAAGGTGTGTCGACGACTCTTTGCTCTGGGACGGATCACTGGATGAGGCCTTTTGGCACACCGTGCACTACATCACGCTCTGTGGGGAACACGGCGTCGTGTTCAACCCTTCTAAATTCTCTTTCGGGGCGGACACCGTTGACTTCGCTGGTTTCACAGTCACTGCTGACGGGTACAAACCAACGGGACGGCTTCTCGACGCCATCCGTAACTTTCCGACGCCATCCAACCTCACAGGAGTCAGAAGCTGGTTCGGGCTGGTTAACCAAGTCTCCTACGCGTTTGCCCAGTCTGAGGTCATGTCACCCTTCAGAGAACTGCTCAAAACTAAAGGCAACAGCAAGTTTTACTGGGACGAGACTCTTGACCGACTGTTCCAGCAATCCAAAGATACCATTGCCAAGCGCGTGGCTGAAGGTGTGCGAGCATTTGAGATTGATCGGCCAACCTGCCTCTCAACAGACTGGAGCAGACATGGACTCGGCTTCATCCTCCAGCAAAAACACTGCCAGTGTGGCATGGAAAAGGCACCATACTGTGGGCCAGATCACTGGAAACTCGTATTCGCCGGGAGTCGCTTCACCACAGATGCCGAGTCTCGGTATGCCCCAGTGGAGGGAGAGGCTCTCGCTCTCGTCTACGGACTTCAGCAGTGTCGCATGTTTGTACTGGGATGTCCGAATCTCACCGTAGCAGTTGATCATAAGCCACTGGTAAAACTATTCTCAGACCAGTCGCTGGAGAACATAAAAAACCCACGGCTGTTCAGCTTGAAGGAGAAAACGCTCATGTACCGCTTCACAATCAAGCACGTCCCGGGGAAAGAGCATGTGGGTCCAGATGCTGCTTCCAGATATCCAGCCTCCAGCAGTGCAGCCACGCCCACACAGCTGAACGACTCGCTGAGCGGCTTTGCAGTCATGAGAGCTGAGCCGGCCCACACAGATACTGAACACGCACGAAGCATCCATGAAGCCATGGTGGCCGTTGCTGAGCTGGCAGCCTCCTCGGCCGGCTCGGACGGATTTCGAGCGATCACTTGGGAGCTGGTGAAGGAGGAGTGCATGGTAGACGCCACCAGCATCGACCTAGCGGCAATGATCTGCCGCGGCTTCCCCGAGACGCGTTCCGACGTCCCGGACCACCTCAAAGTCTTCTGGCCGATGAGACACGACCTGCATGAGCTCGAAGGCGTCCCATTCCACGGCCAGAAAATGTACATTCCACAGTCACTTCGAGTGGAATTACTGGAATGTCTTCACTCAGCTCATCAGGGCGAAGTGGGCATGAAAAACAGCGCTCGGAACCGATTTTTCTGGCCTGGGATGGATGCAGCAATAACACAGAAGCGAGCACAGTGTAAAACATGCCAAAGGATGGCCCCGTCACAGCCAAGCGAACCAGCGCTGGAACCGCCGTGCCCCGATTTTCCCTTCGAGATAGTCTGCACAGACTACTTCCAGCTGGCAGGCTACTTCTACCTGGTGTACGTGGACCGCTATTCAGGATGGTTGAACATCAGTCAAATGTCAGATGGCAAGATCTCGACCCTGGTCTCCGAGCTACGCAAGTATTTTGCGCACTGGGGCGTACCCGCCACCATTGAGTCTGACGGTGGACCGCCATTTAACAGCGAGGAATTCAAACAATTCCTCCAACAGTGGGGCATCAAGCACAGGCTCTCCTCTGCGCATTACCCCCAGAGCAATGGCGCTGCCGAAGTCGCTGTCAAAGCAGCGAAACGGCTTCTACAAGACAACACGAGCAGGTGCGGCCAGCTCAACACGGATCAAGTGACACGAGCGCTTCTTCAGTTCCGTAACACACCTGGGCGCGACGGTACGCGCGAGTCACCAGCACAGATCCTCTTCGGACGGCAGCTACGTGATGGACTCCCGACGCCGCACTTTGTTCGTCCCGAATGGGGGAAATTGAGGGAGCTCCGGGAACGTGGGTACGCTCAGCTGCACGGAAAGAACATCGACAAACGCTGCCTTGAGCCACTTGGCGTTGGGGACATAGTACAAGTACAGAACCAGCAAGGATCTCAGCCGACTCGCTGGGACCGCACCGGTATGGTCGTAGAAACACTGGGTAACCGTCAATACAGCGTCAAGATGCATGGCAGTGGCCGGCTCACCCTGCGAAACCGCCGCTTCCTCAGGAAGATACAGTCTCTGAACCCTGCCAATCATCAACCAATGAACCACACCACGGTCTACCAACGAGATCGCCCGCTCCTGCGCCCCAATGGACCGTCCGGAGCCCCCGTCCCGCCGGTCTTCAGTGCTGCGTCGCCGCCGGCCCCGGCGCCATTGCAGCCCGCCACCATCCATAGGCCGATTCCAGCATCAACAGCAAAGGCGACTGCCCGTGCGCCTCGGGCTGCCTCCTTAGCCCCACCATCAGTCATCCCACCAGCCAGCACTGATCCAGGGCAGCCGCTTGTCCAGCTACAAGCACCTTCGGCAGTTCAGCAAGATCCGCCACGCCGGAGCACACGGACGCGAGTCCCTACTAGGCGTCTGTCCATGACTCCACGTGGGCAGTCATACACAGAGATATCTGCCTGCTCCTCATCATTCAGATGGTGACATTTTCGACCACATACCCATGTCTGTGGTCGCGTTGGGGGGAGGGCATGAAGGATCCTCACCAACTCTTTCGTGGTTGTTATTAACAATCAGCATGTCGGGATGCATAACAAAATGCATAACAGCATGCATAACAGCATGCATAACAAAATCGCGTGTGCACAAGTGTTAATTAAATGAGTGTGACGAGAACGGGAAACTGCGGATGATTCAGAATATAAAGTAGAACTTGGAAAATGTGTACTTGAATTTCATTTGCATATCATTCAATTATTTTTTGCTTCTTCGCTATAATTCAGCGCTGTACCTCGGGTGCTTTATTCTCTCCATGCTCTGACCCGTCAGTGTCTCAACACCGTTTTTAGCATGTCCACCGTGCGCTAAAGTCGCCCAAATCGTATCTATAGCGCCATTCCCCGCCCGTTCTTCCTCAGACGAGTGCCGAGAACCCGGTGGAGCACGCCGGCTTTCTGATGGCACTCGGGCTGAACGGCCACCTGTCTCACCTGGCGCGGCTGAACGTGCACGACTACCTGATCAAGGGCAACGAGATGACGTCGGTGGGTATCCTGCTCGGCCTGGCCGCCTGCAAACGAGGTGAGTGACGGGCGCCACTGAGATGGGGTGGGTTAGCTGGGTTATTTAGGAGGGCTGCTGGCGAGGGAATGCTGTCGAATGGGTGAATTATGGCTGGGCAGGACGACATGTTGTAGCCACTTTGTTGTTTCTTGAGAATTGGAAGCACACGATTGGTTACGGCATAGCATTACATGATCAAGGATAATCAGTTATTATTTCTGCCTGCGTGCCATGTTCTTCGAGGTTGTGCTACCTGTTGCTATACCTCATCCGATTATAATATATGACAGTCGAGGCCAAGTCTCACTCCGCACTGTTCTCTCAGGTACGATGGACATTAACACGACCAAGCTGCTCAGCATTCACGTCGAGTCGATGCTGCCGCCCACCAGTCGCGAACTGGACATCGCGCACTCTGTGCAGGTATAGAATGTGGGAATTACCTCGAGCGTGGTAGACACGTAATTGGTCCTGATGGTTTTTGTACAGCTTTTGTAGGTATAGAGTTGAGCCTGAAAATACGAGGATGAGGTGTGCGACATTTGTTTTTAGTTTGTTTTAAAGTTATGCAGCCCTGCGTGCCTTTCTTAAAGCTACGCGACAAAAGTAATCCCCTTCTTTCGGTCAGGTAGCTGCGGTGCTCGGTGTGGGCCTGGTGTACCAGAGCTCCAGTAACCACCTCCCCTCCCCCTCCTTTCGGTCAGGTAGCTGCGGTGCTGGGCGTGGGCCTGGTGTACCAGGGTTGACCAGTAACCCTCCCCCTTCCCTCTCCCCATCAGGTAGCTGCGGTACTCGGTGTGGGCCTGGTGTACCAGGGCTCCAGTAACCGGCACATGGCCGAGGTGCTGCTGCGCGAGATGTCCCGTCCGCCGGGTCCCGAGATGGAGAACAGCTGCGACCGCGAGGCGTACGCGCTGTCGGCGGGCCTCGGCCTGGGTCTGGTCACCCTGTGCAGTGGCACCGACCAGCTGGGTATCACGGCCAGTCTGCACCAGCTGATATTCGGAGGCAACAAACCGCCGCTCACCGGTGGGTGCTGACGGGATGCTGCAGGGGCAGGGTGAGGGCGGATGAATGCCGTATATGGCGGTAGAGTTATACCGCCTGTTGAAATGTTAGATTGACTGGAGTTCGGAGTACAGTAGAGATGACTGTGCTAGCCATGTTAAGCTGTTGACACTGTTTGCCAACAAATATTACAAAAAAAAAAAAATCGAGACCTCGACTTCCTGTGATTGTCATTCTTATTTGACATCCTATTCAATGATTTCTCTCGCTCTCTCAAACATTGAACACCAGACTGCATTGCCGAAACACCCGCGTCACTTCCGTGCACTGACTGACTACCGGTCCGTCGTGCCCCCTATGCTCGCTCGCCAGGCCCTCACTCTGTTACCACCCACCGCTCCCTCACAGGTCCTCAGAAGGAGAAGTACAAGACGCCCAGCTACCACATCAGGGAGGGCGAGACGGTGAACACGGACGTGACAGCGGCGGGCGCCACACTCGCGCTGGGACTCATGTACATGGGCTCCGGCAACAGGTGCGTCGGCAGGGAGGACGAGGGACGGGTCTGGGGTGAGATGCTGGTTAGGTGGCTGGAGTCATAGTGGAGGAATTTGTGAGAGGGCTGGCATTGTTTACGGTACAAGAAGGTATTAAGAATATGCTTTGCAATAATAGGCAAAGAGGATCTTGGCTCTATCGTAGCAAGTCTGAACTGGTGTTCGAAAGGGTCTTGTGCCCTAATAAGATCAAGATGTGGCGTCAGCATGACGACAAACTTCAACTCTATTCACTAATACACTCACTGTCTCCTTGCGTTCGTGTGTGACTGCTCCGTCAGTCTCCGGCCTGTGTGGTTATAGGCTGTCCTGACCTGCGACCGCCCTGTCCGCCGTCATTATGTCTCTCTGACCTGTGTGACTGCTGTAGAGTCTCAGTCTGAACTGTGACCGTCCTGCCATTTGTCTGTCCGTCAGTCTGTCTGACCTGTGCTGTGAGTCTGATATCGCCCTGTCCGCCGTCATTATGTCTCTCTGACCTGTGTGGCTGCTGCGGAGTCTCAGTCTGAACTGTGACCGTCCTGCCCTTTGTCTGTCTGGTTAGTCCATCTGACCTGTGACCGCCATGTCCTCTCTGTCTGTCAGTCTGACCCGTGACCGCCCTGTCCGCCGTCATTATACTTGTCTGTCTGTCCGTCAATATGTCTGACCTGTGACCGCCGTGTCCTCTGCCAGGGCGGTGGCCGAGTGGCTGGCGGCGCCGGAGACGCTCTACCTGCTGGACATGGTTCGTCCGGACCTGCTGCAGCTGCGCACCCTCAGCCGCGCGCTGGTGCTCTGGGACCAGGTGGAGCCCTCCACCGACTGGGTGGACGGCCACCTGCCGCCGCTGGTGCGGCCCGACACTGAGCGCAGCCACCAGCCCGGCATGGACTACCAGACCATCAGGTATGGGGGGGGGGGGCGTCAGCCCGGCATGGACTACCAGACCATCAGGTAAGGAGCGCAGCCGGCAACCCGGCATGGACTACCAGACCATCAGGTATGGGGGGGGGGGGGGGGCGACAGCCCGACATGGACTACCAGACCATGGTATGGGGGACCCGACAGAGGAATTACCCGCTCACCAGGTACGAAAGGTGGACTTACCGGACCATCAGGTACGGAATGGGAGAGACTATCAGGCATTGGGAACAGGGACAGCCAGACGGTCCTGCAGGCGTGGAGGGATGGGAACCATCTGACTACCAGGTGTCGAGGGAAGGGGCAACAACTGCTGAAACATTAGGTAGGTACAGAAGTGAAACTACCAAGGAGACAGGGGCCAGCTACCTTAGTTATTCCTTGGCGCATGCAAACACTTCAGCTAAGCTGTAGGGAGGGAATGTGTGGGGATACTGTGCAGTCACTTTGTCCTATAGAAACTGCTGGCACGCTGAGCGGGATGCCCGGCTAGCTCAGTCGGTAGAGCATGGGACTCTTAATCCCAGGGTCGTGGGTTCGAGCCCCACGTTGGGCGGCTAATCTTTGAAGTATCCGGCTCTGAATCTGTCCGCCATGCTACCGGGGAACGTTGAGGGGTTTTGCTGAAGTCGTGTTGGCAGGATGTGCGGTGTTAAAGTTCACACGCCGGGTGTTACACTTCCCAAGGGAGTATGTAACCTGGCCTTCAACTGGCCCTGATGCCGCAATAATGCGTGGGACAAACACCAGTTCACATGACGTTGAAACGTTTCTAATCACCAGGCAGCGCCTTTGGGGCGACGAACGGAGCGAGGGAGAGGGTCAGCCTTGCACGTGCGGAATTTCCCAAAACTGACACCTCTTCGTTTTGCACGGAGCACGTGCATGTGGGGTTAAGGCCGCCCCACACTGGACCTCGCATGCGGGTTGCGAATTTGCGGGTTTTGAGTTTGTAGGCATAATACAGGCATGTATTAATACAGGCATGTAATACAGGCATGTATTAATGTAGGCATGTACTAATTCATAGAGTGATTAGACCAGTGGTCGGCAGGTCCTCCGGGGTCGTGCCCCCTTTTTTGGCGCCAGGCAGGGCCATTACCCCCACCTACCAGACCCCATTGGTGATACAACCAAGGTTGCTGAAATTCCATACTTTTCCGTGACTCTTTGGGTACCATATCTGCGAGAAACCGCAGGCCCCCCTCCCCTGCGGCTTCTCGCAAATATCTCAAAAACGTTGGCACAGAGCGCCACCATTTTGGAACAATTGATCATACATCGTTTCTGCACATGTTGTGAATATTTCAGACCAGAGTCACTCAAGGTCAGGTCACCAGATCACGTCAAGTGACCTCACCTCAGTAAAGACTGTAACGCCTGCTTTAGCTGCATTGAGTGACAGATCTCTTTCAAACTTTCAGGAATTGATAAAGGCAACAGCATGTACAAAATTTGTATCTCGGAGATTTGATGTCGGTGACCAAAGTTAAGGTCAATTACACGCCCTCTCCCATTATCAATGGGAGAGGACGCAAAGTAAATGGTAGAAAATTGAAAGGCGCCTCTTTTGGACCAGTGTCATTTCTTACACTGTGACACTCTTATTTACAAGTAAACATGACCGCTGAACCGGAAAATTGCACCCGTAACCCCGCTGTATGTCCCTGAGGTCATTTCAGGTCATGAATGGTATAAGGCATGCCAGAGCGATGAAAATGCCTTAGATGTGTTCAGCTCGACGATACGGATCGACTGATGTGCAACAAAACCTTCGATGCTTCTCGACGGGAGGATCACGATGCTGATAAAAGTGAACTCTTGCGCAAGTTTTGAGTGACAAGTTATTTAAGAAAAACTATCAGCAAGCAACGTACATTTTGGCACTTTTTGTCTCCTGCAGGCTAAACCGTTAATCTTCGGTTGAATCTGAGGGCAGGCATCAGAAAAAACGTTAAAGAGAGCTATCGAATGCGTTTTTCCGCAGCGCTGTAGCTCTATCCTTTCCTGAGCTATAGGCCAGTTTGTCGAAAACTGTCAAAGGTTGACCTGGAAATTAGCGAAATTTTACGTTCGATGACCTCTGGTGACCTGACCTTTGATTTTGACCTAAAAAAGTGACCATATTTTTTTCTTCATCATTTCTTACGCTCTTTCGATCGCCGACTACGGCGTTTCGCTAGTGACCCAGGAGCCAAGTTAGTAGGGGGTGTTCAACCTCCACCTCCAGCAGGGCGTGGAAATCCAGGAGCCCCAGCGGGGCGCGGGTTAACCCCCATACGTATAGGGGTAGCGGGTATTTTTCGGGAATAGATCACGTTAAAAGGGTCGGATTACAAAAAAAAAAAACTGTACCCTCGAGCCGATCATTTTTATCTGTCCTGAAAATGGCATGACCTTAACCCGAATAACCGTTGATTTGTGAGATCTTTCTTGAGATCATGGCAGGCCAAAAATCTCACTTCAAGAAGTTACAGCAGGACCCGATTTACTCGGCAGTTGTTATTGACCTATGGAAGGTCACCCAATGAACAACGACCTTTAATTTAGGTAGCAGCGGCTGCTCATCTTCACGGGCAACACGCTCAATTTTTCTGCAAAGCTCCAGCTCAGAGACCGAGATGCCCAGGTCAGGGTGCAATGGACGACTCCTCTCCCTTGCGTTAGAGACTGTGAAAACGCCAATAGAAGAGCGCCGGTTAGTACATGACAGTTACTTTCAACGACTGTACGGAATGGTGAGCAGCTACATGAAAACTGACATGCGCCAGATAATCAGTTCATGCTTTGTGCGTTTGACCTCGACTAATCTTTGAATCCTGGGGCACAACAGTTGCGATGTTTGTCCCATCAAGGGAGCCATTAATTCTAAAAAAGATGAGGTTTTCTCAGCGGCCCTCATTACCCCCCGCCGAAGGGCGTCATTACCCCCAAAGGGGGCATGCCCCACCATTTGCCGACCCCTGGATTAGACCGTTCCCTTGTGGTAACTTCATGAATGCAGTGAAGCCGGTACACCTTCAGAAAATTACATATAGTCGCAATACCAGCGCAATGAACCAAAATTCGACTCCAACGAAAAACTCGCAAATCTCGCACAACTCGCAGACCTCGCAGCGAGGAAAATCGAAAGTTGACTCAAAATCAACTTTTGGATTGCGATGCAAGGTCGCTCGGAAGCTAAAAGCATGCTGACTCGCTTGTTAGATGGTAGTGTGGGCCATTCAGCTAAGATTGTATTATTTGATATTGAATAAACCCGAAAACCCAAAAACTCGCAACCCGCATGCGAGGTCCAGTGTGGGGCGGCCTTTAACCACATATATCGAAAATAGTCCAATACTTGGTAGAAGGAATTAAGCTACCGTACAAAAATTACCGCATGTAAATCGGTCAAGTGGTTGCGGAGATATAAGCAGCCTCGCAAAAGCGTGACCACGGCCGGCCGCTCCATATATGTACAGAAATTCCTGCTGTTCTACGGGCTTCGCTCGCTCCGTAACAAGAAGTCTGGAAACTCACGGATAATGTGCGCTCGACATACGCCGAATCGCGATTCCGGCCTTTTGCATGATCTCGGGAAATAGGTTACAGGTCAAAGGACATTTGGGTCAGGGTCATGAAATTTTCAGTCTGTAAATTCGATTAATTTAAGGGCACTGGACGTTTCGTCGCGATCGGCCGCCTTTTACGCGAATTATCGCAAAAAAAACGAGGGGGCTTCATCCGACTCCCCCCCCCCATAAGTGCGAGGGCTAAGAAATGAAGCACTCTGGAATGATCAATATCACACTTCTGTTTAAGAGCATATACCATAGCATAGAGCATATACTGAACCCTCCTTAAAAAAAAAAAAATATTTCCCGTTCAAATGCGTGACTATTGACTAGGCATAGCGTAATGAGGATTTTTAGTTTTTGCCAGTTTTTGCCGGCAACTGAGTGCCAATCCTGGACCGAAATATGTATAAAAGCGTACTGTCACCTGCTCTGTCTCCGCCCGCTACCCCCAGCTAGGTGTACTGTCACGTGACCTGCCCTCGCCCGCTGTCCCCTGCCAGGTGTATTGCCACGTGACCTGCCTTCGCCCGCTGTTCCCTATCAGGTGTATTGCCACGTGACCCGTCTCCGCCCACCGTCCACAGCCAGATATACTGTCACGTGACCTGTCTCTGCCCACTGTCCACAGCCAGGTGTACTGTCACGTGACGTCGGGCGCGTGCCTGGCGCTGGGTCTGCGGTACGCCGGTACGGCCGACCCTGAGGCGTACCGCACTCTGCTGCACTACACTCGCACCTTCATCGGACACGCGAACTCGACGGTGTCCGAGGAGGCCGGCCGGCCCACCGTGGAGAACTGCCTCTGCGTGACACTGACCGCACTGGCCATGGTGAGAGGGGATGGGAGAACTGCCTCTGTGTGACACTGACCGCACTGGCCATGGTGAGAGGGGAGGGGAGGGGAGAACTGCCTCTGTGTGACACTGACCGCACTGGCCATGGTGAGAGGGGAGGGGAGAACTGCCTCTGTGTGACACTGATCGCACTGGCCATGGTGAGTCGAGGAGAGGAGGGGAGAACTGCCTCTGTGTGACACTGACCGCACTGGCCATGGTGAGTCGATGAGAGGGGAGGGGGAACTGCCTCTGTGTGACACTGACCGCACTGGCCATGGTGAGTCGAGGAGAGGGGAGGGGAGAACTGCCTCTGTGTGACACTGACCGCACTGGCCATGGTGGGAGGGGAGGGGGAGGGGAGAGAACTGCCTCTGTGTGACACTGACCGCACTGGCCATGGTGAGAGGGGAGGGGAGGGAAGAACTGCCTCTGTGTGACACTGACCGCACTGGCCATGGTGAGAGGGGAGGGGAGAACTGCCTCTGTGTCACACCGACCGCACTGGCCATGGTGAGTCGAGGAGAGGGGACAACTGCCTCTGTGTGACACTGACCGCACTGGCCATGGTGAGAGGGGAGGGGAGGGGAGAACTGCCTCTGTGTGACTGACCGCACTGGCCATGGTGAGAGGGGAGGGGAGAACTGCCTCTGTGTGACACTGACCGCACTGGCCATGGTGAGTCGATGAGAGGGGAGGGGGAACTGCCTCTGTGTGACACTGACCGCACTGGCCATGGTGAGTCGAGGAGAGGGGAGGGGAGAACTGCCTCTGTGTGACACTGACCGCACTGGCCATGGTGGGAGGGGAGGGGGAGGGGAGAGAACTGCCTCTGTGTGACACTGACCGCACTGGCCATGGAGAGAGGGGAGGGGAGGGAAGAACTGCCTCTGTGTGACACTGACCGCACTGGCCATGGTGAGAGGGGAGGGGAGAACTGCCTCTGTGTCACACCGACCGCACTGGCCATGGTGAGTCGAGGAGAGGGGACAACTGCCTCTGTGTGACACTGACCGCACTGGCCATGGTGAGAGGGGAGGGGAGGGGAGAACTGCCTCTGTGTGACACTGACCGCACTGGCCATGGTGAGTCGAGGAGAGGGGAGGGGAGAACTGCCTCTGTGTGACACTGACCGCACTGGCCATGGTGGGAGGGGAGGGGGAGGGGAGAGAACTGCCTCTGTGTGACACTGACCGCACTGGCCATGGTGAGAGGGGAGGGGAGGGAAGAACTGCCTCTGTGTGACACTGACCGCACTGGCCATGGTGAGAGGGGAGGGGAGAACTGCCTCTGTGTCACACCGACCGCACTGGCCATGGTGAGTCGATGAGAGGGGAGGGGGAACTGCCTCTGTGTGACACTGACCGCACTGGCCATGGTGAGTCGAGGAGAGGGGAGGGGAGAACTGCCTCTGTGTGACACTGACCGCACTGGCCATGGTGGGAGGGGAGGGGGAGGGGAGAGAACTGCCTCTGTGTGACACTGACCGCACTGGCCATGGTGAGAGGGGAGGGGAGGGAAGAACTGCCTCTGTGTGACACTGACCGCACTGGCCATGGTGAGAGGGGAGGGGAGAACTGCCTCTGTGTCACACCGACCGCACTGGCCATGGTGAGTCGAGGAGAGGGGACAACTGCCTCTGTGTGACACTGACCGCACTGGCCATGGTGAGAGGGGAGGGGAGGGGAGAACTGCCTCTGTGTGACACTGACCGCACTGGCCATGGTGAGAGGGGAGGGGGAGGGGAGAGAACTGCCTCTGTGTGACACTGACCGCCCTGGTCATGGTGAGAGGGGAGGGGGAGGGGGGAACTGCCTCTGTGTGACACTGACCGCACTGGCCATGGTGGGAGGGGAGGGGAGGGAAGAACTGCCTCTGTGTGACACTGACCGCACTGGCCATGGTGAGAGGGGAGGGGAGGGGAGAACTGCCTCTGTGTGACACTGACCGCACTGGCCATGGTGAGTCGAGGAGAGGAGGGGAGAACTGCCTCTGTGTGACACTGACCGCACTGGCCATGGTGAGAGGGGAGGGGGAGGGGAGAGAACTGCCTCTGTGTGACACTGACCGCCCTGGTCATGGTGAGAGGGGAGGGGGAGGGGGGAACTGCCTCTGTGTGACACTGACCGCACTGGCCATGGTGAGAGGGGAGGGGAGGGGAGAACTGCCTCTGTGTGACACTGACCGCACTGGCCATGGTGAGAGGGGGAGGGGAGGGGAGAACTGCCTCTGTGTGACACTGACCGCACTGGCCATGGTGAGAGGAGAGGAGGGGAGAACTGCCTCTGTGTGACACTGATCGCACTGGCCATGGTGAGTCGAGGAGAGGAGGGGAGAACTGCCTCTGTGTGACACTGACCGCACTGGCCATGGTGAGTCGATGAGAGGGGAGGGGAGAACTGCCTCTGTGTGACACTGACCGCACTGGCCATGGTGAGTCGAGGAGAGGGGAGAACTGCCTCTGTGTGACACTGACCGCACTGGCCATGGTGAGTCGAGGAGAGGGGAGAACTGCCTCTGTGTGACACTGACCGCACTGGCCATGGTGAGAGGGCAGGGGGAGGGGAGAACTGCCTCTGTGTGACACTGACCGCACTGGCCATGGTGAGAGGGGAGGGGAGAACTGCCTCTGTGTGACACTGACCGCACTGGCCATGGTGAGAGGGGAGGGGAGGGGAGAACTGCCTCTGTGTGACACTGACCGCCCTGGTCATGGTGAGAGGGGAGGGGGAGGGGAGAACTGCCTCTGTGTGACACTGACCGCACTGGCCATGGTGAGAGGGGAGGGGAGGGGAGAACTGCCTCTGTGTGACACTGACCGCACTGGCCATGGTGAGAGGGAGGGGGAGGGGGGAACTGCCTCTGTGTGACACTGACCGCCCTGGTCATGGTGAGAGGGGAGGGGGAGGGGGGAACTGCCTCTGTGTGACACTGACCGCCCTGGTCATGGTGGGAGGGGAGGGGGAGGGGAGAGAACTGCCTCTGTGTGACACTGACCGCACTGGCCATGGTGAGTCGATGAGAGGGGAGGGGGAACTGCCTCTGTGTGACACTGACCGCACTGGCCATGGTGAGTCGAGGAGAGGGGAGAACTGCCTCTGTGTGACACTGACCGCACTGGCCATGGTGAGAGGGCAGGGGGAGGGGAGAACTGCCTCTGTGTGACACTGACCGCACTGGCCATGGTGAGAGGGGAGGGGAGAACTGCCTCTGTGTGACACTGACCGCACTGGCCATGGTGAGAGGGGAGGGGAGGGGAGAACTGCCTCTGTGTGACACTGACCTCCCTGGTCATGGTGAGAGGGGAGGGGGAGGGGAGAACTGCCTCTGTGTGACACTGACCGCACTGGCCATGGTGAGAGGGGAGGGGAGGGGAGAACTGCCTCTGTGTGACACTGACCGCACTGGCCATGGTGAGAGGGAGGGGGAGGGGGGAACTGCCTCTGTGTGACACTGACCGCCCTGGTCATGGTGAGAGGGGAGGGGGAGGGGGGAACTGCCTCTGTGTGACACTGACCGCACTGGCCATGGTGAGAGGGGAGGGGAGGGGAGAACTGCCTCTGTGTGACACTGACCGCCCTGGTCATGGTGAGAGGGGAGGGGAGGGGAGAACTGCCTCTGTGTGACACTGACCGCACTGGCCATGGTGAGAGGGGAGGGGAGGGGAGAACTGCCTCTGTGTGACACTGACCGCCCTGGTCATGGTGGGAGGGGAGGGGGAGGGGGGAACTGCCTCTGTGTGACACTGACCGCACTGGCCATGGTGAGTCGAGGAGAGGGGACAACTGCCTCTGTGTGACACTGACCGCACTGGCCATGGTGAGAGGGGAGGGGAGGGGAGAACTGCCTCTGTGTGACACTGACCGCCCTGGTCATGGTGGGAGGGGAGGGGGAGGGGAGAGAACTGCCTCTGTGTGACACTGACCGCACTGGCCATGGTGAGAGGGGAGGGGAGAACTGCCTCTGTGTGACACTGACCGCACTGGCCATGGTGAGTCGATGAGAGGGGAGGGGGAACTGCCTCTGTGTGACACTGACCGCCCTGGTCATGGTGGGAGGGGAGGGGGAGGGGGGAACTGCCTCTGTGTGACACTGACCGCACTGGCCATGGTGAGTCGAGGAGAGGGGACAACTGCCTCTGTGTGACACTGACCGCACTGGCCATGGTGAGAGGGGAGGGGAGGGAAGAACTGCCTCTGTGTGACACTGACCGCACTGGCCATGGTGAGAGGGGAGGGGAGGGGAGAACTGCCTCTGTGTGACACTGACCGCCCTGGTCATGGTGGGAGGGGAGGGGAGGGGAGAACTGCCTCTGTGTGACACTGACCGCACTGGCCATGGTGAGAGGGGAGGGGAGGGGAGAACTGCCTCTGTGTGACACTGACCGCCCTGGTCATGGTGAGAGGGGAGGGGGAGGTCGAGGGAAGGGGCTGGGAGGTCGTGGGACATGAGAGGGTCTAGGAGCACGGATGATTGAATCACTCCAGCTGGATGTGGTGGAGCAGACTGACTGCATGAAATTGCCTTCGAGATGGTGTAGTGATGGCGCCTGGGGTGCACCAGATTGGGATGATTTAAAGAAGTTCTAATGGCTGTGTAGTCGCTTATGGGGATAATTGTCTGGTCTGTATTATTGTATTATCTGACGTCCGCGTGATTAATTAAAGCATTCCGTCCCCAGTCCCACGGACAGGCGATGGCCGGTGGGTGACCCATGTCCCACAACTCCAGATCCCAGTCTGAGCCGCCTCAACCCTGAATATCCTCACTCGCGCCTCTCCCTTACATGTGATGTCTTGTACTGTACCGTTACCGTGACCCTCTGACCCCGCCCCCTCCCACAGGTGATGGCCGGCACCGGTCACCCCCAGCTGACCCCCGTCCCTCCCACAGGTGATGGCTGGCTGTACCGGTACCGTGACCCTCTGACCCCTCCCCTCCCACAGGTGATGGCTGGCTGTACCGGTACCGTGACCCTCTGACCCCTCCCCTCCCACAGGTGATGGCCGGCACCGGTGACCTGGACGTGCTGCGGATCTGCCGCTACCTGCGCGCCCGCGTCGGTCCGCAGAGCGTGACGGTCAACTACGGCAGCCACCTGGCCGTGCACATGGCGCTGGGCCTGCTGTTCCTGGGCGGCGGCCGGCACACGCTCAGCAACAGCCCGCCGGCGGTGGCGGCGCTCCTCTGCGCCCTCTTCCCGCGCTACCCGCTCACCAGCTGCGACGGCAGGTCAGTGTGTGTGGGGGGGTGTGGGGGGGTACCACAGCAGCTACCCGCTCACCAGCTGCGACGGCAGGTCAGTGTGTGTGTGAAGGGGGGGGGGGGGGTTACACAGAGCAGCTACCCGCTCACCAGCAGCGACGGCAGGTTAGCTGTGGGAAGAGTAGGGAGAGGGGTACCAGAGCCGCTGTCCGCTCACCAGCTGCGACGGCAGGTCAGTGGGCACTGGAAAAGGTGCTATAAGAGTTTGGGACGAGAATTATAGTTTATTGTCAATGTATGAAATGCGTACTGAGGCCTCTTGCACCAAACTACCTAGCTAGGTAAAATCGAAAAACCGGTTTCAGAATAAGCTAATCTAACGGTGGTAAATTTGTTTGCAATAGCCCAATACATAATCCTGCATGTGCTTGCTAAATTTTGCACGCAAATTGTTACATTTGAGACTTGGACTGGGTATACGATGCAAATTAACCCAAGCATTGGTGCAAGAGGATTTTGGTGCAAGAGGCCTCTGGTTTGCGATTTTGTTGTTTCGCTCTTATTTTGGTAAAAACGTACGTGCTTGTGATCCCTAGATCGATACTCCCCACCCGCCCGCCTAGCTGTCTGTCCGTCCAGGTACCACCTGCAGGGACCTGGTGTTCTCTAGGCTGATGCTCCCCCGCCTGTCTGTCCGTCCCTCCAGGTACCACCTGCAGGCGTTCCGGCACCTGTACGTGCTGGCCGCCGAGCCGCGCCTGCTGGTGCCCCGCGACCTCTCCTCGGGTCAGCTCACCTACTGCCACCTGGCGGTGACGCTGCGCACTGCCGACTCGCCGGCCGGCCGGCAGGTGGCGGTGGAGGCGCCCTGCCTGCTGCCCCAGCTGGACACCGTGCTGGAGATCAGGGTGGACGACGACCGCTTCTGGCCGTTCACAGTCACCTCAGAGGCCGGGGTCAAACAGCTGGCGTGAGTGGAACGGAACAGCGCCACTGGACGGGGTGACAACGGCCGCTTTGGCATATGAAACTCGTGTTTGGTTACGGAGGCATGAGACGGGGGCGATAGCTTTTTGAGCAGTTTAAAAATTCCTTGGTGTCCTCTTGTTGGGCTGAGTCATTGCTTTTATACCAGTCTATCGTCGTCAGGGGCCGTTTAATCTGGCTACGATCTCTGTATTCACCAACCTCTCGTTCGTCAGTCGTGTCCGCCGCATGTTTCACGTATCTTTTACCAACCCCTCCGCATATACCGCCAGGGAGCGACTGAAGTCGGGCGGCCGGCTGAACGTCAAACGGAAGGCGGTGGGCGGCCTGCAACAGCAGGAGCTGCGCGCGCAGCTGACTCAGACCCTGGTGGGCGAGCGGCAGACCAACTGGTCAGCGCAGGTGAGTTAGAGAGGCCAGGGTAGGCTGCGACAGACCAACTGGTCAGCGGGATTGACCAACTGTAGTCAGGACGTGAGCGTAGAGGCCAGGATGATGCCACCAATCCATCGTATCCCCATCCTCATCGGTAAATGTGTGACCCTTCCACCGCTCTCAGAGGTCTGATGTGACCCCCCCCCCCCCCTTATCTGTCAGTCCAGAAGAGCAGAGATGTGACAACTTATAACCCTCCCCCCTCCCGCCCCTCCCGTTGTCAGTCGGAGCTGGTGCTGCTGAGCGGAGATAAGACACCCTCTGCCTCTGTCAGTCGGAACTACTGATATGACCCCTCCCCCTGTCAGCCGGAGCAGATGTGACACCCCCCCCCCCCCCCCCCCCGTCCCGCTCCGTCAGTCGGAGCTGCTGCTCTCCTCGGTCAGTCCCGAGGAGCAGAGGTGTGACCCCCCCCCCCCCCCCTTCCTCCGTCAGTCGGAGCTGCTGCTGTCCTCGGTTAGCCCGGAGGAGCAGAGATGTGACACTGTGACACCCCCCTCCCCCCGTTCCCCTCCGTCAGTCGGAGCTGCTGCTCTCCTCTGTCAGTCCGGAGGAGCAGCGCAGTCTGTGTCGGCACCTGCTGCCGCCGGGCTGCGCCGACGGCGGCCGGCTGCCGCTGCAGCTGACCGCGCTGCTGCAGCTGTGCCTCAGCCGGCAGCAGGCCGAGCTGTTCCTGCCGGCCGTCAGCCTGCTGCTGCACACCCGCTCCGGACGACACCTGCGCCCGCTGCGGCTGCTCCGCCTGAACGGCGCCGGATCCACGCTGGGAGCAATAGCCGACTGCGCCGAGCTGTGGATACAGGCGGAGCTGGCGGAGCGGGAGAGCGGTGAGTGGGAGAGAGGGACGGACAGAGCGAAGAGAGCTTGGTCGAGGTGTGGTGCGTGCAGAGTAGTGAGTGAAACAACAAATGTAGAAAGAGTTGGCTGGCCAACGAGAATGTGCGAACTGCCGGCCATCGACCTGCCTCCGTGACCTCGCCAAGGTCGCGTGAATTACTTGTCACGACGTCGCAAGCAGCCGAGACTGAGTCAGGCGAGCGTCATAGAAACCTACGGCAGATAAAGTCATAAATCGCAAAAGCGAAAAAAAATATGCACAAATGTGCCCCTGTGCAGTGCGTGCACGAACCTGCCCCACCACGGTCCTATGTGTATTTCAAAATTCCTTGTCGAAAAATGACACTTTTGCAACAAACAAGCATAGTGTAATAAATAACTATTATTTATTACACTATGAAATTTATTTATGTTATTGTTATTATATTTATTATATGTTATTGTTATATATTTATGTTGTTGTTAAATAACTTATGAAAGTTATTTATTACACTATGAAACAAGTTTGCAGCAGTTCCGTGAATAGAGTGAGCTTCTTCGCCGCCAATTTTAAAAAAGCTGAACCGCATTTCCGAGTCAGGATCACGAAAATGGATGCTATGGAAAAAGTTTGGAAAGTGCACGAATAATACAACTTTGCGTTTTTATCAAGCATGATAGCAGATACGATGTTTTCTACAGTGAACGAAGGGCGCAATGATACATATTTCATAATTTGCCTCGAGCTCGGGCAATCACTCGTGTTCCCATAAACTGCTGAAAACGAATGTGCCCATGCACGAAAGTGCCCCGCTCTCCCCTAAATCAGGTGTCCAATATAATTTATTGATGGTGTATCGTATCGCAGTGTTCACGTCTCTCCACATCCGCTGACCTCCGTCCCGTGTGGTTGCAGAGGCGGGCTCGGCGCTGACCGGCTACCTCACGGGCCGCTCGGTGGCGGCAGACCCTCACCAGCTGTCCGCTTACCTGAGCTTCTTCGGCGCACCGCGCTGGGGGTGCCTCGCCCAGCTGCCACAGGGTATGGATGTGCGCGAAACGATGGTTCAAATAATCCCTTATTTTCACTGTGAAAGCTACAATGATTGGACAAACATTTAGCTGAGTTGTCTGTCATGCTGAGCGGAGAAGCATGAGACTGGTCTTATGGTATTCCATTCGCAGCCCTGAGCTCGACAGTTGACCCTCTCTCCCATTTGTTTTCAGATTGTCTGCAGGAAGTGGAGCGAGTGTTTGACCTGCTGCCGTCCGAGCACATGTCCCCTCTGGAGCGGGTCACCGTCGCCCAGCTGCTCGCCGCCCCCGGACAGGCGTGACGTCATACCTACAGCTGCCGACCGCGCCCGGACAGGTGTGACGTCATATCTGCAGCTGCTGACCGCCCCCTGGGTGACGTCATACCTACAGCTGCTCGCCGCGCCCGGACAGGTGACGTCATATTTGCAGCTGCTGACCGCGCCCGGACAGGCGTGACGTCATATCTGCAGCTGCTTACTCTGGGTGACGTCATACCTACAGCTGCTGACCGCGCCCGAACAGGTGTGACACGGCTGGGTGACGTCACAGCTCGTACAGCCGGTGTGACTTCATTACACTGGTCAGGTGACGTCATACCTCTTACGTCAACGTGATCTGCGACCGGTGCGATTCCAGTTACCTGAAGAGTTTCAAGTGAGATGTGCTGTAGACCTTCAGATCACGAAGTGACTCGGTGATAGCAAAGTGGTGATAACTGAAAAATGACTGAAGTGAAGCTAGTGACTGTATGAATTTGGGACATCCGATTGGGGTTGGCACGACAAATGCGGTGTACAGTCACCAGCACTTGCTACTAATCACCTCGTTTTTGTTCAGTAGTTTGAAGACCGATCAATTGTCAGTCGCGCAAGATACGTCAAACGATCCGTTTGGTCCTCCGATTTTCGAATATCTAGCTTGTTTTTGTATATTCGAAGCATTTTGGGATGGGGAGCCAAAAAAACGTCTTTTCTGCCCTAAAGTGTGCCCCAAGAAGTCGTAGAACCTAGCCCCGCCTCTGATCCACAGACCACTAGTGCCATCTCTTGTCAGCCGAACAAGCCGCAGAAGTAAATAATGTCACGTGACCTTTCCACACGCTACAATTACTACGCAGCTGTAGTGGGGGAAGCGGGGCGGAGGCGTGGAGAGGGACGCGATCGGTCGGCTGGGGTCAGGTCGCCGAGGTCAGAGGTCATCCGCCGGAGGGTGTTTGAGCGGTTGGGCCGTGTGGGCTGGGGCCTGCGGAGTGGGGAGCGCCTGGACCTGTCTGGAAACACGCCCTACAACGCTGTGACAGTCGATAATATTGTGAGGAAAGAGAGAGAGAGAGAGGGAGAGAGAGAGGAAAGAGAGAAAGAGAGAGAGAGAGAGGAGAGAGAGAGAGGGAGAGAGAAAGAGAGAAAGAGAGAGGGAGAGAAAGAGAGGAAGAGAGAGAGAGAAATAGAGAGAGAGAGAGGGAGAGAGAGGGAGATAAGGAGAGCGAGAGATGGAGAGCGAAGAGAGAGAGAGAGAGAGGGGAGAGAGAGAGAGTCAGAGCGAGAGAGAGCGAGAGAGAGAGAAAGAGAGAGCGAGAAAGCGAGAGAGAGCGAGAGGGAGAGAGAGAGAGAGAGAGAGAGAGAGAGAGGAGAGAGAGAGAGAGAGAGAGAGAGAGAGAGAGAGAGAGAGAGAGAGAGAGAGAGAAAGAGATAGAGAGAGAGAGGAGAGAGAAAAAAAAACTGAAACGGGAAAACCAGAGAGGGTAAAATGAGAAAGAGGGCAATGGGTAAATCAGCGAGAGGGAGCGAGAGAGGAAATATTTAGTTGTGTCAGCTTGTTTCACATGTAAAATGCAAATTGGCTTTCCATCATTACAGCTTCGGATTGGAAATTAAATCTTAGCATCCTTGTGATAAACCCACGTTGACGGGATGCAGCAGCGGCGGAACACCTTCAATTAAGGGGGGGGGGGGCACTGCCGACTTTTGGTCCTATTATTTCCATGCAACGCTCATAGGGCTAATGTTGAAATGCCAAAATCAAACGGGGGCACGGTGCCTCGTGCCCCGGTGCTCTCCCCGTTCCGCCGCCTATTACGGGATGGGGACGCTTTTATGGTCGTCGTTGGGAGCTCGGCACTAATGGGATCTGGGGATGATGTTGAAGGTTTCGCAAATGTGTCATAAAAGATGCTATTTTTTTGCACATCCCATTAAACATTTTTTACGTTTGCTATGAAAATGTTAGGCCCAGTTCCTTCAAGATCAGGTCCACGACTCCACAGCTTACAACAGGAGCTAGCTAACATAACAATTAACCCGCGCCGTGTTGGTGGCATGAACTTTCCATCGAGTGCTGGGGGGGGGGCGTTTTACGCCCCTCCGTCTTCCATCGAGTGCTGGGGGGGGGCTCCGTCTAACTCGGTTCCTGGGCCACGTAGCGACACGCGGTAAGCGACAATCGAAAGAGCGTCAAAAATAAGGAGGAAAACACTCGGTCATTTTAAGGTCAGGGCAAAGGTCAGGTCACCAGGGTTCATCAAAGGTTAAATTTTGTTGATTTCAACGATTTCGAACACCCGACGGCTAACTCGGGAACCAATAGAGCTACAGCGCCGCGGAAAAGCGCATTCGATAGCTCTTTTAACGCTTTTTCGCCAACATGTCCTCAAATTTGACCTCAGATCAACGGTTTAGCCCCCAGAGGGCACCGCTCTGATTGACCTCAAATTTGACCTCAGATCAACGGTGTTTTCACCGCTCTAGCACGTCTCTGTCAAAAGTCAAAAAACTGCTGAAGACCTTTTATGTCCTAAAATGACCTCAGGGGCACACACAGGGGTCACAGGTGCAATTTTCCGATTCAGTGTGTCATGCTTACCTATGGACCGATGTTTGAGAGGGTGTAGAACGAAATTCGTCCAAAAGAGGCCCATTTCAATTTTCTTCCATTGACTTATACCTAATGGAGCAGTCGCAAAACTGACTTGACCTTAGGTCACAGACATAAAAAATCCAAGGTATCCATTTTATACATACTGTTACCCTAAGCAATTACTGAAAGTTTTAAAGTGATCACTCAGTCGGTGTAGCTACAACGAGCTTTCGAATTTTTTTCTGAGGTAAGGTCACTTGACGTTACCTGGTGACTGACCTTGAATGAGGCTACGCGTCGCGTCGCCGTTTTTGAGATATTCGCGAAAAACCTGAGGGGGAAGGGCGTAACCCCCCCCCCCCCCAGCAAGGCGCGGGTGGTCGACATAGCGACTCGGACTGAACAAATGCCTTTAACGTTTCAACGGTTGAATAAAGTGAGAGGATTGAGGTAGGCTTGCATCGGATTTTCTTCTGCTTGTCGGTAGTTTAGGTTGAAGTTAATTTCGCGAGCTGTCCATAATCATTCAAGAGGGAAAATTCAGCTGCAATCGTTCGGGTCAAAGTAATACCAAACATTCTCAAATTTTGTAGGAAAGAGCCAGTAGTCTACGAATATATTTAAAAAAACAATTAGAAAAAGAATAAGCGGACCGGTTTCGTCTATCAAAGACTTCTTCAGCGCTTTTTTTCGAAAACGTATAAGAAGAAAACTAGCACAGTGACAATCGTTTGAAATAAAATTGGATTCAGTAAGAACTAAGAACTCTATTGTCCGAAAACCGCTGACAGTTGATAGCTCAATGACACTTAGAGCCGTGCATAAGGATGCGTGAAAACACTCCTCATCTCGTTCTATTACGAGAGGACCATGTCATGGCGTGAGAAAGGTGTTCTCAAAATAAATGACACTGTATGAGTGAGTAAATATTCCGCGCCCCCTTGGGCTATTGGCGGACCCTACCACCTGATCGGGTGGTGCAGCCGTTTCGCCCTCCACCCGAGATCTCGGAAAGTTACCGACCGATTTTAAACATTCAAAGAGCGTTCGATAGCCCCACCAGGGAACTACCTTGTTACCAGGTTTCGTTGACCTAGGTGCAACCCATGACGTCACAAAGCAGGTCAAAGGTCGCATTTTTTCACCGATTTAGTCTAAGGAATGCGTTACAGTCAGTTAACACATCAAATAAAAGGCATGTTATCGAAAAACATCGATGGAGCGTTGGTTGTCTAATACATATGTTGCCTAAAGAGGTCATTGATGCCAGGTCAGTTTACAGAGGTCAGGTCACTAAGGCTCACAATATGAACCCAACTATGCTAGGGTCGTGTGATGCATGTTTTATGGCCAATTTTACATTTAAAATTCAATGGTGTGAGCTAGACGGCCATTGGGGCCAGGTAAGATTACATTCTGGTGGAGGTCAGGTCAAGGTCAGGTCAAAGTAGGTCAAATTTCAAAGTTAATATTTTGCATAAAAGGGGTATCTATTCGATGCAGCTCGTCACAGGAAATCCAATGGTGGCCTTTGGCTTGCTTTGTGTATTCTGTGACGGCTAAAAATTGAATTTGAAAATTTTACGTAATCAATTTGAGTAGTTTTTTTTTTTGTCATAACTTTGCTAAAAATGGAGCTATCGAGTTTAAGTTTGGCATATCTAGAGCAGATAGTTCTATAACATATATTTCAGTTTTAATTTTGAATGTTGTTGGTATTTTCGGGGTGTTATACTTCTAATCTATAGTTTTGATGGTCAAAATCAATTTTTGTTTGGAAATAAGAGTTAGCAGTTTGGTAGCGCTGTTTATTTTACATCTTTTTGATCTTGAATGTTTTTCGTTATCTTCAAAACTGTAAGCGTGATAGCTCTTCCCGCTAAACCTTTTATTGGGTTGAAAATGACAACATGGCATCCCTCTGACGTCATTTGTGACTAATCTTTCATAAGAGCTCTAGAAAATTTTAGTCACAAGGTGTAAAAATGATGCCCGGATGGGTCTTGAAAGTTTGGTGGCGACATTTGCTGTACTTAAGGAGATATCGACTGAAAAGGAGAGAGGGGGCCGTTTCGCGCCGCCCTCTCCCTCAACTGGGCTTTCAGTTGCTGCTCTCACAGAACTCTTGGTTATATTAGAACGTAGTGGAATTGCAAGTGGCAATATAAGCTTCCTGCCAGCGCCGGACCAGAGTTTAAACATGCAGGCTGAATTTTAAAATTTAACTTTTGAATTTTTAAACCGTTGAGCTTTTAAGAAGTTGTATGAACTGTTCAGCTCCTTTTTGGTCCATCACAGCGGGCCTGTATGGCATTTGTCAACCAAAATCGAATTAAAAACTTTTTATTTGGTCTGGCTACCTCGCCAACTTCTTAACTGGATCGTTTAGTAGCTTTTGATTGGGCACTGCCCACGTTGTCTGTCTAGCTTTTCGTGTCATAGACATTCTCTATGACACGAGAAGAGGCTGCAGGCTGCTGACATCGTTTGTCGCGGTTGGATAATACCAATCCACGTCCCAGTGGCTGCTCGATCGCACTTTTCCTGGCCCACCTCTCCCACCAGGCGAGACTTTGCCCGGCACAGCCGTCGCCTCAGTGCCTCGGGCGGTGACCCGTTCAAAGGGGCTCACAATTCGTATGGTGCCGTGGCTCTCAAACCAATACAGAACAGTGAAACGCAAAGGCTCACTTTCCATAAAAGGCGAACGGCTGATTCTGGCGCCGAGGCTTCATTCATGCCAAGGCGCCCAATCACAGCGCCGCATTTCAGTTAGCGTCGGGCGCAAAAGCTACTATGCTCCGCCCCTCCGTCACGTGACCCTGCCCTCACGTGGCCTCAGTCACGTGGTGTTTCCACTTCTTGGCGCATGGCGGCGCTAGTCTCGCAGGGGCGGTGGTAGCTTGCTCCCCCGTCGTCCGGGGGTGATGGGTAGCAACTGCTGGTGACTGTACGCCATGACCGCCTGCTGTGACGAACACTCAGTTCTTGCCGAACGGGTTATAACTGCCAATGTTCATCAGATAATGTGAGGTCACCTGACCTCTCCGTCACGTGCCTAACGCACCACCATCATGGGTTGTTCGGTCGTATGTTGACAAGTGCTGCTGTATTTATTGAGCGCCTTTTGTACAATAACAATAATGTTTGCTCGCATGCTTACCTCAGGGCATTTGGAGATCAAAATATCGGGGTTTTAGGGCTTCCGAACTGTAACTAATTGCCTTCAAGTCTACCACAGCACTTTTATTATTTGCTTTTTCAACAGATGGTCATAAGTGTCACTCACAACATTTCCGTCGCTCGGCACACGGTGACACAAAGAATAGCACAACACCGACTGATATATTGTCGTCCCTCTGGGCAGTCTGACTTGTACAGGAGTTGACGGCACAAAGCGTTTGTCGGTCCACGTGTGGACGGAGGCGCGGTAAGTAGACGCGGCAGCCGGCTGTCTTTGTTGCACAGAGTCCCGGTCATTACGGCCGTCACCGAAGCACCTCTCAGTTCCCCCCTCCCCCCTCCCTCGCCCGGCGGCGCCGCCGGTCTGTTGGGCAGTCACTGGCCGGCCGGCGCTCCGGCAGCATCCCCGGCCGGTCCGGACCGCTCCTCCGGCGACCCCCCGCTGAGATCCGCCTCCCGTGGCGAGCCGGCCTGCTTGGAGCAGTCGGCCTCCGTCGGCACGGCCAGCTTACTGAAGTACTCGGTAGCGGCTATCGCCTTTGTCACAACCAGGTTGTAGATGGGGTGTACCAGCTCCTGGAACGGCCCCGACGAATGGCGGTGAGATTGGCGAATGTGTGGACCAAATGGTCACACTGGGAGAGGATAAACCGTTGAGCTGGTGTCTCTCGCTGCAAATAGCCGTTACTGCACAGGCTGCTCAAATGCGAAAGTTTCAGTGAGGACTCGAGCTCAGCTGCTGAGCAGAGCATCGATGCTCATTGCTCATTAGGTTCGGTGAAAAAAAAATATTAGGCTACCCAATTTTCACGGTTACTTATAACTGACCAGACATAACTGCCACGCATCAACATTCCGCAGTCCGCTTAAATACATATCCCGAAGTCACTGGAGGGCAATACGCTGCAAAGTGTTACACGTCCCTCCCGGTCTTCCAAGTGAGCTTACACCGCGATCATCCGTCCCGTTTCTCACCAGCTGGTTGTTTTGGTGCCCCCCGCTCCTCACCAGCTGGTTGTTTTGGTGTCCGACCACCCGCGGGTGGTGCTGCCTGCCCAGGTGGAAGTTCTGCGCTATCGACAGACCGCTCAGCGCGTAACACGTGTGGTAAAAGTCCCGGTTCCTGCGGGGGCGAGGGTGGTCAAGGTTACCTAAAGGGACAACACAGCAAAACAAAATGTGAATCACACACAACCACATATTGCCAATGTAACGACTGAATCTGCTTCGGTTCCCTGGCTCCCAGGTCGCCACTGACTTTCCGGGCTTGTCGAAGAAGCCGCCGTGGGCGTTCTCGCAGCAGTGCAGCAGGTAGTGCTGTAGCGCCTCCTGGTGGAACATCCAGCGCTCCCGGCTCAGCGTCTCAGAACCTGGCGGACGCCGGCGCAGAACGGGCGTTACGGAACCGTGCCGGTAACTGGGAGCTTACAGCTGCAGCTACCGGTAGGTGGTGTCAGGAGAGATATTGCAGCTGTCTGATGTCTGGCGAGAATGGTCTGATGTCTGGCGAGAATGGCCGCCTGACTCTGATACGTCAGCACTTGTTCTCAAAAACAAGTTGGCTGCATTGAAGATGCGTCAGCGGGCGTTACTGAGCATCAGTGTACGTATTAGTCCAAAACTGCGCGACAGTCAGCCAAAAAAGCGACAGGCAACCATGGACACCCAATAAGTAGAAAATGTTGGGAGAGTTTGGTAACATAGCTTCAATGCAAAATATGTCGATTACGGTAACGCTCACCTAACAGCGCTTTTAGAACGTGTCCCATTTCTAACGCCTCGCCGCTGATTCCCCGCCGGACCCGGTGCACTGACCTTCCTTGGCCAGCAGCGTGTGGATAATGGGAAACACGGCACCCTGCCAGTACGCGTAGCAGGCGTCCACCAGTTTCTGCGTGCGGCCCGAGAAGCCGCCCTCCAGCGCCATCTGGCGGTTCGTCACCCACCGCTGCCGGGCGGACGGACGGACGGACGGGGGAGGACCACGGTCAGTTCACGGTCCCAGGTCAACTCACTCAGTGTACCTACCAATAGTTTAACTAGGACCAGCAGAGCACGCCATTCAATGCACAAAAAAAAAACACATTCAAGGAGTTACTAGCGAGAGCACACCCCTTCACGAAAAAAAAACAAAACAAAAGAGTCATGAAAGATCATCACATCATTGTTGCAATTTTCACGTTTCACGATTGTAAGCGAGACAGGTGACACTGTTCCGCACTGTGAGCGAGCCACCCACCATGAGTGAGTCGAGGTCGCAGAGCCGCTCGTGGCCCAGCAGTGCCAGCGCCGCCAGGCCGCAGAACGTATAGCCGCCGTGGGCCTCCAGCCCAGGGGTGCCCGAGAACCCGCCCTCGTACGTCTGACAGCTGCGAGCACAGCACAATGCTCAGAGAACAATATATGACAGCTGCTGGGAGCACAACACAACGCTCAGAGAACCCTCAACAGCTGCAGGGAGCGCAACATAACGCTCAGGCCTCAGAGAACCCGCCCTCGTACGTCTAACAGTTGGGAGCATAAGACAACGCTCAGAGGACCCTCTGCTGCTGCTGGGAGCACAACACAATGCTCGGAGAACTCTCTTACAGCTGGGAATACAACAAAACGCTCAGAGAACCCTCTGATATCAGGGAGCAGAACATAACACTCGGAGCTGCAGGGAATAACACTGACAGCTGCAGGGAGCACAACACAACCCTCGGAGAACTCTGACAGCTGGGAACAGAACACGACTCAGAGAAACCGCCCTCGTAGTCTGACAGTTGGGAACACGCGCCACAACGTTTAGAAGGGAGAAGAAATCGCCCCTTCTAGTCTTCTTGTCCCAGGCACACACACTCACTCATTGACAGTGTGATGACTGTCTAGGAACCAGAGGAGGGCCATGACTTGATGAGACACCAAAGACGAAAAAAGCAGCTTGAAACTACGGTGGGTAGTACATATCGCTAGCAAACGGATGTCTGGATATGAGCAATTTACTACACAGATCACGACAGATTTAGAACAAAACTAATACTCCACTTCGGTCTGCCTGCTACGAGCAAGTACACCGTCTCTAATTCACTCGATACTCCTCCCCCATTCACAGCATCACAGCCTCCGTCAACCGTCCACCGTCAGCCGCCGGGCCCCTCCCGGCACCTCACCTGGAGAGCCACTCGGCCGTCTTCTCGAACAGGGCGTCCTCATAGACGTTGGTGAGCCGCGCAACGGCGGCAGCGCAGTAGGCGCCGCGGATATCCACCTCGCCGTCGTCGTGCATCGAGAACGAGCCGTCGCTGTTGAGGCAGCGCCGCAGGAACCGGCGCAGACCCGGCCTGGCGGCGGACCGGGCGGGTCAGAGGGGGGCTGAGGCACGGCGTGGGGTAGAGGAGCTGCTCGGGGTCGGTGGCAGTCCGGTCGCTACACGTAGGTGAAGGCTCGCTGGGCGAAGGCATTTTCCGAAATTACAGAAATGGTGCACTGCGGTACAACGACAAAATACAGCAATTAGCAAAAACTGGGTGCATGCTTACCTTAGATATGACTTGAGTGACCAACTTTTCAACCTTCGCCACTGATAATCCTCATCAATATCAATGCAGCATTCCCACATGCAAATGCAACCCACCGTAGCCCGGATTAGATCAGTCTTACTACAGAGGCAGTGGTCAGTGGTCACATATATTATAGACCACCAGCCATCGGCCCCGCCCCCGTGCCTGTGTCGCGGCACCGGTCGCCCTCACCTGTCTATCACCTGGTAGGCGGCCTCGGTGCCCAGGCTGGCCAGCGCGCTGACGGCTGCGTACGTGGCGGCCAGGTGGGGCAGCTGGCCGGGCCCGCCGCCGAAGCCGCCCTCGGCCGACTGACAGCGCGCCAGGAAGGCCGTCACCGTGTCCACCTGTTCAACGGGCAGCGTGTGGCCGAGCACGTCGAGGGCGTGCAGGATCCAGTAGCAGAGCCACGGCCGGCTGGCGTCCAGGCACTGCCGGCGGAGAGAGAGGTACGCCAGTGTCAGCAGCGACACCCGCGAGCAGCTCAGCAGTGGCGGAACTCGCCAGTGGCGGCGGGACACTGGAGAGCTCCGTATTCATCGCTAATGTTACACTACCCAAATGTGAGTCACTTTGATATAGATTTGTCACTGTATGTCCGGATTAACAGCTTAAATATTACGAGCAGCAAAGAGTAAAAAGCTACACTTTCAAAGACATTAGCAAGCTAAAATAATAACAAAACAATAAGAATTACAAAGTCGGCTTGTCTGCTAGATAATGGACCTTAAGGCATCCAGAGGTCAGAAAAGCTAACTATGGATAAAGAATGAGAGGGTGACGCGTGGTAACAATCTGGTTCTGGTTGTCTACACTGATCAGTGATCAATCACCCAGTTAGCACTAGCAGCAGTGGTCACCAGAGCGGCAGTGGACCTCGAAGTAACAAAAACAATTAAGTTAAGTTGACCAAATGTGTGTTTACGGAGCGAGCGAAGCAAGCGTAGTCTTTCCTTAGATTGACGGAAATTTCTGAGTATGAGTGGCCGGCCGTGCGGACGCTTTTGCGAGGCTTATATCTCAGCAACCACTTACCGATTTACATGTGGTAATTTTCGTAGGGTAGCTTCATTCCTTCTACGAAGTATTGGACTATTCCCGATGCATGTGGGTGACCCCTTATGCACGTGCCACGTGTAAAACGAAGATGTGTCAGTTTTGTAATAATTGCAATATCTCGGTAACTACTGGGCCGATTGCTCTGAAAGTTGGCATGTAGGTAGGCACCCACTAGGCAATGCATATCCATGTGCCACAGTTGGGGTGCTGCTGCACGTGCGCACCTGCAGGGGTCGATTTCAGATCTCGAGAACGGCTCGACCGATTGCGCTCAAATTTGGTACACAGTTAGGGACCGGTTAGTAGGGTACCGTGCAAAAGTCAGTCGGGACCCATTTTGCACGTGCGAACGCGCAGGGTGCCGCTTCCAGATCTCGAGAACGGCTGGGCTGATTGTGTTCAAATTTGGCACGTCGCTAGAGACCGGTTAGTACTTAGTAGGGTGCCGTGCACAAGTCAGTTAGAGGTAACCCTCGCAATTTCGCACGTGCAAGGCCCACCCTCTCGCTCGCTCCGTTGGTCGCCCCAAAAGGCGTTATACTGGTGTCATGATGTGCATCTTACCTCATAGTTGCCAGAAAGGTAAGACAGAGATCGACATAGCAGCTCAATGTGGTGCTCCCTTGCTAACTTTGGAAGCTCTGGATCCACAGAAGCCCGATCAAAAAACTTTGACAAGCATTCCTCTATGGTGTCTTCCACTTTTTTCTGAAAATGATCCATCGAACTTTGTGAGCATGTCAACAACTCAAATGTCAATTGTCAAGACATGTCAATTGGCAATTACATGTTAAAGGGACCCTCCCACCTTCAAAAAAGTTAATGAATTGGCATGAAAGTGATGTCACTCGGTTCAGAAAGAGCAAAAACGAATGTCTACCAAATTTCATCGAAAAATATTCACCGGTTTTCAAGATATTAGACTTTTACTTTTGTTTACTTTTTGGGATCTCCCCTGTTCCTAGCGACTTTATTTGAAAGTGCGGCATTTGTTGCGCGCAAAGCAGCATAGGTATACCACCGCGTGCTACAAAACGTTTTAGTCAAACATTCAACGGACGTTCGAAAGCCTGATGACGTCATCAGATTCCTGTAATGGTTAAGAGATAGGGACCACGCTGGTCCCACCCTGCAAGTAAAGGGAAGAAATTTCTTGAACACCATAAAGCTGCGGGGGTTGCGACCAGGATAAATGGTGGTTTCTGAGCCTGACCGCAAACTTGGCTATCTCAACTCAAAACTAATGTTAAGGTGGGAGGGTCCCTTTAACTGTCCCACCCATCTCAATACAACTATGAATATGCAAACCAGTTATTCATCATTTTGAGCACATGAATCATAGTCCAATGAAGTCAGCTCAACTTATGATAAAGGAGTCACCCACCTGATTCATGGAAGTGTCAGTAGGAACACCTTCATCATCCAGCCTATATTGCTTGATGTCATCCAGGCTTAGGTATCTCGAGTTGTCGGGCACATTTTCAGCAGAAGTCTGAGCATCATCCAGCTGCTCTGCTTTATCCATGACTGTAGCTCCAAATGTTGACAATCTACTGGAGTGATAACTGAGGAAATATATTACAAAACAAGTGTTTTGCTTTCAAATGGATACTTTATGTCTCATAGCTTGTATTGCAGACACTGTAACAGAAATTGATGAATATACTCTAGCAACTCACCTGGTCAACTCAAACTGGTAGGTTTCCAACCTCAGCCATAGGAATTGGACAGGTAGATGAGAAATTAGATGAGATAATAGTAGGTGAGCAATGCCTATACAAATCAATGCTTTTCAGTTAAGCTTCATAGTATTTAATACCAGTACCCTTCATCTAGAAAATGTCAAGCAATTCCATGACAGTAACTGATCTAAAACAGAGTAATTATAGCTTGAGACATTCTTCTCAGTAATCATGTAATGCTATGTAGTAGCTTTCGGTCATTTGTACCGATATGCATTTTACTTTTTAAGTCCCATGCTTTTCATGGTTTTTACTTTTAGCTTTAGTGTTTATTTTAGCTTTATATATGTGCCTACCTATTTACTGTATGACACTTGGACTGAAAAGCCGTGAGTGCATGGAGCTTCCAAACGAAATACATGATGATGATGATGATGCTATAGCCTATAAGGCTTGAAGGAAGACACCCCATCAAAATGCACAGCGCTAACTTCCAAGCAATATAATTTGAAATTTCTAAGAAATACTTGTGGTTTACTCCATGCCATAAATAATGCCATCCCAAAAATCAACATAGCAAACTGAGCCTACGACTTAGTCATATCGTTTCGCCTATCCTCGCCCACGACCAACTCTACAGTGGACATGGAACCCAAGCAGGTGAGTCAACCAGGGCCCTTTATCTATTTTCTATTTTTGTTGGGTTAGGCCCTTTCGGTCTGACAAGACCATTGCAGAGCCGGAAGGATGATAGGAATTAGGGGGAGACATTGGTCTGGGCAGACACCCTAGAGAGTCGCCGGGGCTGAGCTCGTCCAGAGGACAGGCCACCCAGCCCCAAGGCACTCACTGCACCCGGCTACGGGGTGCGCTCCCTCGGGAGCAGCGGTGCCGCTCCAAGGGAGCAGCCCGCATGTCGAGATAAAGGTGCCTGTCCAGCCCGGAGGGGGTTGCGGCGTGGAAAAGGATTTCTGTATCCTGAGGACAGAAGCACGGAACGGTGACCAGGGCCCTGTTCGGTCGCTATTTTTATATCAGCGTGCTGTCGGTTTTCCCCATATATGGAAGTTATTGCTGGCGCTTTTTGGCCTCTCATTGGTCTAACGAATAGACCACTTGAATTCGACCACTGCGGAGCCAGGAAGCAGCAGCATGCTCGCAGCCTGCTGATAAATAAACGGGGGGGCGAACACCAGACTGGAAAAAAATACGTTATGCCGAATATGTCCGGCGTAGTGGTGGGATTGCGCCGAAAATTTAAGCGCACGTCCGGCGTAACTTCGCATGCGCCGAATTGGGCGCATGGCGGCGGCGGAATTTTTTGGCGCATGGCGGCTGCATAATTTATTGACGAAAGACAGTCACTAAATTTAGTTGGCACGCTGGTCACTCTAGCAGCAGATTCGCCCTGCGAGCTGCTCTGCAGGGGTTTTGGGACGAGACATCCCCGTCCCGGCCGTCGCGTGCTCGAACTGGCGAGCCGCCCTGAGTACTCAGAGGATGCGTGGCCGCCCAGGTGAGGCCTCAACCCTCGGCGTGGAGATGGGTGTGGATTCCTTGTTGAACATCGCCGAGCGTCGTTAAGTAACACTGCAGTGGGTTCCTGCCCACTACGGTATTGAGAGGAATGAGAGCGCAGACGACCTGGTGAAACAAGCAGCCGGCCTGCCCTCAAACGCCCGCTCGCTGACCAGGGTGGTTCATTGTGCGGCCTCGCATCAATGGTGCGACAACTGGTCCGAGTCACTACTCAAGCCCCTCCTCGGGAGCACGCAGCCGCTCCCTATCCCCGGACAATACGAGGACCGAGGGGACGCCGTTTCGGCGCACAAGATGAGGGCGGCCGGCGGGCAACTGGGACCCCTCACTCCAGTACGTGCACCGAATCGGCTCTATCCACTCCGCGGCGTGCCAGGAGTGCCCAGACAAGCGCGGTGCCCCGCGGCGCTCTGCGCCGTGTGCCAAGAAGAGGTTGATGTGCCGGAGCACGTGCTGCTTCATTGCCCGGCAGTCGCTGGCTCCCACCAGCCTCGAACACACCGCTCCGCCGATTTTTGTGACCCCGGGACTTCCAGCTCCGACCTTGTTTCACGGAATGACGCTATCTTGAGCGAAGCGTATTGAGATATTGGGTCTCGATGGAATTAAAAACTTATTCGGACGCTTAAACATGGGAGGGCGTTCAAGGTCCCGGAACGCTCTGTCTGGTTGATATAGCCTTGATCGGTAGATGAGCAGTGAGCACATGTGCTTTATATAAAAGTGGCTTAATTTCGGAACAAAAAGGCACCTAATTTTCGGCGCAAATAATGCAGAAATTTCAGCGCAACATCGCTTGCGCTGAATTTCGGCGCAAGAGGGTTTCAAGGGCGTCTGGCGTAGCATATGGATATTTTCCAGTCTGAGGCGAACAGAGCTCAGGTGAGTTGCACTGATAGTGGCATAGGCGCAAGGTGTCGTATTAGCCAGTGATTCCCAATACTGATACATGAAACATGAGGCCCATGCCAGAGATAGAAAATAGCTTGCGCTGAATTTCGGCGCAAGAGGGTTTCAAGGGCGTCTGGCGTAGCATATGGATATTTTCCAGTCTGGGGCGAACAGAGCTCAGGTGAGTTGCACTGATAGTGGCATAGGCGCAAGGTGTCGTATTAGCCAGTGATTCCCAATAATGATGCATGAAACATGAGGCCCATGCCAGAGATAGAAAATAGTTTAACTGTTCTGGCTCACAAAAGATTCAGCACCACTACACTGAGTGAACATTAGAATAAGCATATATCCATAAGAGGCACTCAATCTTTTCTTATGTGAGCTGGAACACAAATAATGATGAATGAACACACTGATGTTTACATTATCATTTTTTTTTCTAAGTAGGTACGCCTCTCCCTGATTGATCTAGCTTCCTTTTAGCAGGGCAAACCAAGAGGAAAACTATAAAAAATGTGGCATATAAATCAGCATATTAGATGAAGCATAAAATGAGGTAACAGCAAACTGCGTACCAGAAATCCACCCACAGCACACCATTTATGAAACAATTTCGAAATGCATAAAGGTAGTGGTTTCGTCCTGTTCTTTCTCCATCTGCAACTGTTAGCGTTGGGCTGCATCGATCACTGCTTCTCCACATTTCGGCACTGTACGGTGTCAAAATCTTTATGGCACTTCATTTCACTAAAAAATTAAATTAATAGCACCGAAAAGCAACACATTTAAACGGAGAACGAGTACTTTTATAATCTTAAATAACAGATATTTGCAACCATACGCAGTTATTGATGATTGATAATGAACTCAAAAATGTTAAGAGCTCAAATATGACGCTAGTGTTACAAATAAGACATGATCAAGGCGCATGTTTATTAATCCCACCCAGAAATGACAAACAATGCCTCTGATTGGTCAGTTTTGCCTGCCAGACGCAAAATATTTGTCAGCCATAGAAATGTAACGGATGGTGTCCTCTATCAAAAACCCAATTGCCAAAATGCGGGGAATCCAAGGCCATATATAGTGGGGAATCCATCAGGGGAGCCATACCGCTCGTCCACACTCCACAGCCGCTCCTCTGACCAGAGTTCCTCCGACAGGCTCTGCTCACCCCCTCTTCGGGTCAGATCAACAAACATGTTTTCGAGCCGTTCGATACGAGTCACCGGCTGCCACGGACACGTGGCCGACATGACTGTCGGCAGCCGAGGAGCGACCCCGAACAGCAACGTTTTCACACAGCAGCATCGGTAGTGATGGCGCCACTGCACTATCCAGATAACACCAGTCAGCTTACCCTCGTAAGGCTTGTGTAGATGGAGCCACAGTGTCGGTTAGATGGCGCCACATATTCAGCTATAACTAACCAACTCATGTAACGATTAAGTCATATCAAGCCTGACATTATGCATTTTATTTATAAATTATGTCTTTGAAAGTAGCTTCTCTAATATCCTGACCTATAGGTAACACTAAAGAACAATTTCAGCAGCATACAATTCCATTGGTAAGATACTACATCTACCGGTTAGTTCGACCTTCGTATACCAGAGGGACATGTCTTCATCTGTCGCTGGTAGTTTTTACAAACACCATATCTGTAATTTGGAGCTAAAATGTCAAGTCAATGATAAAAAACCTATTCACATTTAGTAAAGTGGGCTTAAAAGAACACCAGCAGTTCCAAAACTCGACAGCTGTACCAACAACACAAGTACTATAAATACCACATCCTGTTCTCGACGCAGATGTACCTGCTACGGCAGTACATATACTAAAATTGGAACGATACAGAGAAGATTAGCATGGCCCCTGCGTCAAGGATGACACGCACAATCGTGAAGCATTCCACTTTTTCATATTGAGGCATTTTCTATGAAAACTATTCTTTATTTTTCTTCAGTTATGGCATTTAATAATGGCACCATTCATTAAACACGAGGAAAGTTGTCGAGGGACAAAGCGGGCAGTGTGTTATGGCTAGGGTAAGGTAGGGTAGGGTAAGATAGGGTGGGTAAAGTGTGTAGAGCAGTCGTATCTTGGAAACGATATGTCAGCACTCTTAATCGTTTTACTCCAATCGGCGAAGTATGGTCGCGCATAAAGCGCATCTCGGGCCGGCACTCCTCTGTACCCTTACCCGTGCTGAAGGTGGATGGAAGGGACATCATGGAGCCAAACGCCGTTGCTTCGGAGATAGGCCGCGCCCTCTATCGGCGGTGTGGTGATGAGTCCCTCGACGAATCCTTTGTCAGGCACCGCTCGTCTTGTGAAGCTTCTGGGGTCAATTTTAGCACCTCCGACGTTTTGAGCTACAACGATACTTTTACAATGGTTGAGCTCAAGTCAGCTATAAGCTGTCTTAAATGTGTCGCAGAAGGCCCGGATTCTGTCCACAATGAGATGCTTCGCCATCTCCCTCCGGTTGCTCTGGATGCTCTCCTTCAGCTGTTCAACCTCCTATGGATGACGGGTGTTTACCCAAACTCCTGGCGGGAGGCAGTTGTCATCCCTGTTCTGAAAGCAGGGAAGAGCGGTTTGGACCCTCTGCACTACCGCCCAATTGCGCTCACTTCCGCCGTTGGAAAGCTGTTGGAAAAGCTGGTGAATATCCGACTTACCTGGCATCTGGAGCGGCACGGACTTCTTGCGAATTCTCAGTGTGGTTTTAGAAAGCACCGGAGTACTGTCGACCACGTTCTTACTCTTGACTCAGTTGTCCGCTCGAATTTTAAACAAGGTCGTCAAGTAGGCGCCTTGTTCTTCGACATTGAAGCAGCGTATGATACTACATGGCGATTCGGTATCTTACAGAAGCTGCATAAGCTAGGCATTCGAGGCACGATGGGTCATTTTCTAAGCAGTTTTCTTGGTGATCGTTTCTTCCGTGTTCGTGTGGGCAACCAGTTATCTGAGCGGTTCGCCCAGATTAATGGAGTCCCACAAGGCGGTGTGCTCAGCGTGACGCTTTTTGGTGTCATGATCAACGACATTGAAAAGGTCCTCTCTCCAGCCATCGGCCGCGCTCTTTACGTCGATGATTTCGCTATTTGGTGCAGTGCGGCGTCGACTCGATCAATGGAGCGACAGCTGCAGATGGCAGTTGCTCGAGTGGAGGCATGGGGCAAGGAGAACGGCTTCCGGTTCTCCTCTGCAAAGACGGTAGGCATGCAGTTTTCCCGTAAGCGTCGCCCCACTGCACCCATGGTGGTGAGGCTCTACCGTGAAGCCATACCAGTGGTTGCGGAGGCCAAGTTTCTTGGCATGACTCTTGACTGCCGACTCACATACCGAAGTCACATAAAGTGTCTCCGTGACAGATGTCTTAAAGCTCTTGACATTCTGAAGTGTGTCGCTCGCATGTCCTACGGCGCTGACCGTAGCACGCTACTCCTTCTTTATCGGTCTCTGGTGCGGTCCCGTCTGGACTATGGATCTTTTATCTATGACAACGCTGCATCCTCATCCAAGCTTATCCTTGACACTGTCCACCACGCAGCGATTCGCATTGCGACTGGTGCTTTCCGAACTACTCCTGTCGTCAGCTTGTTAGCTGAGGCGAACGAGCCCCCTCTGGCCTTACGAAGGCAGATGTTGGGCATGCGATACGCCATCAAACTTCGTCAGTTCCCTTCCCATCCTGCTCACGGACCGGCTTTCTCCAGGTCGCTCTTAGCAGTCTTTGATGGCGACGAGAGGAGCCGCTCTCGAGTTTTCTGCACCCGAACGGCCGATCTCCTGCGAGATTGTGGCCTAAGCACTCGGGACATCATGCGAGTTGTTATCCTGCCTGAACCGCCTTGGAGGTTATCTGTCCCCTCTGTGGACCTAACCCTATCAGGCACACGGAAAGACCAAATTCTGCCTCTGGCCTTCAAGGCGAAGGCATTGGAACATATTGCATCATATTCAGGCCATGCCGTGGCATACACCGATGGGTCCAAGTCGGACCTCGGTGCTGGCTGTGCCTTCGTCTGCGGCGACGCTGTGCGATGTTTTACTTTATCTAAACATGCATCCGTTTTTACCTGCGAATTGGTCGCCGTCCTCAAACTTTTATGTTTTATCCAGATTCATCCCGCTCGGTCATATCTTGTCCTCTCCGACTCATTGAGCGGACTCCAGTCCTTGACACAATTCTATCCACTTGACCCCCTCGTACAGGAGATTCTTCTCCGTTTGACGGCTCTCGACCGAGAGGGTACCTCAGTGACTTTTTGCTGGATTCCTAGCCATGTTGGTATAGCTGGCAATGAGCGGGCGGACCGTGCTGCGAACCATGCGGCGCGGCAGCCCTGCTCCCGCCGGTTCCCTCTACCGGCCAGGGACTTTTTCCCTGCGGTGTGCTCATTCTTCCGCGGAAAGTGGCAGGAGGCTTGGAGCAAATGTCAGACAAACAAGCTGCTACGCATCAAACCGGGTTTGGCAACCTGGTTGTCTGCGTCACGCAAGTCGCGTCGAGAGGAGGTCATCCTCTGTCGGCTTCGCACAGGACACACTTTCGGTACCCATGGACACCTTATTGGCGTCGGCCCAAGACCTGTATGTGCGAGATGTGGCGACAGACTTTCCGTCCGACACGTTTTTCTGGAGTGTCCAAGACTGGAAGCTGAGCGGCTGAAGTTTCTGGGCCTGCGCGGAGCCCAACTTTCTTTGAGAGCAGTCTTAGGTGACGAGTCCTCTTTGCTTGACTCTTCTCGCCTCTTTTCGTTTATTGCGGCCTCCGGCCTTCAGGTGATTTTTAACGCCCGACACTGAGGAAGCCAAATAAGAAATGGGCGCGATATAGCCTCGCAGCTGGTGCGCCCTGTCACTCCAAATCATCATCATCAGTTACGTGTACGTGGGGTAATGTGGGTAGGGATTAGGAAAGTATAGTGTAGGTAGGCACTAGGGCAGTGTTAGTAGAGTAGTGTTGGTAGTGTTGATAGGAGAGCGTGGGTAGTTGTGTGGTGTAGTAGTGTATGCTAGGTGAGCTGGTTAGGGTAGTGTGGGTAGGGTAGAGTTAAGCAGGGCAGGGTAGTACGGGTAGGTAGGCTAGGATAGTACGCCCATGGTAGGTTAAGATAGAGAAGGGTAGTGTAGTGAGGGGAGGGGAGGATAGGTTACTGCAGTGCAGGGGAGGGTAGTGTACGTGGGATAGGGTGGCGTAGGGTAGGATAAGGTGGGGGTAGGGTACTACTACTGTGGATAGGGGTAGGAAAGTGGGTATGGTAGTGTGGGCCGGTAGGGTACTGCAGGCAGGATAGAGTAGTGTGGGTAGGATCGGGCAATGTGGGTAAGGTGGGGTAGAGTAGGGCTAGGGTAGCGTGCGTGGGGTAGGGTAGGGTAGGCCGTAGGGTACGGTAGGGTAGGGTAGGGTACGGTAGTGTACGGTGTGGGTAGGGTATGATAGTGTGGTATAGGGGTAGGGAAGTGTGGGTAGGGTAGGGTAGTGTGGTATAGGGATAGGGAAATGTGTGTAGGGTAGGGTAAGGTGGAAGGGTAGGGTACTAGGGTAGGCTAGGGAAGGTTAGGGTAGGGTAGGGTAGGGAAGGGTAGGGCAGTGTAAGTAGGGTGCGGTAGGGCAGGGTCGTGTGGGTAAGGAAGGGCAGGTGAGATAGGGTAGGATACGGTTTTGCTGTGTAGTGTCGGTAGGATTGGGTAGGGTAGTGTAAGAAGGGCAGTATTAAGAAGCGTGGGCAGGGCAAGGTAGGGTAGAGTAGGTAGGGCAAGGTAGGGTAAGGTACTAAGGTAGAGTAGAGCAGGGTAGTGAGCGTGGGATGGTATAG